ATACAAGCAAATACATCAACAGTGCATCTCATGTTTTTTTCTGGGCAGGTAAGGTGTCTGTCAGTCACAGTGAAAATAATTACATTGAGGGTAAATGAGAGGAAAAGGAGAGATTTTCCACATAAACTGTTGTGACATGCTGTAGGTGGAGATCTAAAACCCACTTCACTGCAACTGCTGAAGAATTATTATGGCAGCCTTGTGGACACACACAGTCAGTCATAAATGAATGGCAGTCATGGTCAACTTTTGAGATAGCTAATAAAAGGTGCTTTTCTTCTGCTGCTCTATCGTTTGATGTTGGCATTACTAATTCAGGTGAGCCTAAAGTGTGGCCAGAGACCTGATTCTGTAACATAGGAATACATGATACAGCTGTTTGTCATTGGCAGATCAAAGTCAACCATCTCCACCAATGTTTTATTATGAAATCAGCTAGTTTCTAATCTAAAACCTCACATTTGTCATGAAGTCGTATTTCCAGGAAATGGTTTTAGTATAATTCAAACCAGCAGTGAATAATCCCGGTCTGTAAAAGAGGTACTGATTTCAGCAGTTTAATGACTATGATTCTCTTTATCACAGAAAATGAATAGGTTGACCGATATTAATTTTAAGTGTGAGAAGAATAGGGAGCACAGTGTCTCCCTCACTCTATGGGACATACAGTATTTGTGAAGACTTTGGCTATCGTGAGGCTTTCATGTTTGCTTGGTTTCGGGGGTTTATGTATTAATTATAACCAAGTTAAATATTTCTAAGCTTTCAGAAAATGTTTGAGTTTCATAATTACGACTTGGATGTTGACATGAACACTATTTACAAGTCTGAAACACTGATTGTGATATGACATGAATGCAGCATTATGTTGCCACAGAAAGAGTTTAATCCTGTTCCTTTCTATTATGTTCACTCTTTTATAAAAAGTCAGACGAGATGCTAACCAAGCAACGATCTCTGTGGCTGGCAAATGAAACCAACACGGAAGTAACGATAACTGCAGTTCCTTGAATGGCCTCTTGGGGCTGTCTACAGTAGTGAGTAATCTCCATAAGGCCCCATATTTAAATGCCCAACTTTACAGCAGAAATAAACATGTTTACAGTCTGGTACAAGAACGGTTTTGGTTTCTATAGCTAAATACTCTGTTAATGACATCTGTAAGTGGGGTGAATTGTTATATAACTCACCTGTTTAAATTATATCAAGGTTTAAAATCAAGCAATTACGGACATGGCCGCTTTGAATGATAGTTGGATGCCGTCACTGGTAACTATGCTTCATTTGGCTCACCCACGCTCCACTTATTTGCTCATTTTATAAACCGGGAGCTTAATCATCCGGATTGGCGACGGCCAGAGCCAAACTCTGTGCTTCACAACCGCTCTTCAGAAACCTATATGGGTGATGTCACAGACACTATGTCCATTTTTAAATATACAGTCTATGATCCTAACATGCAACCTGGCATGAAACATAATAAGACTCTTGCTTTATTCTCTTCCCTGATTGATTACACGGGACATTTATCCTTGAATGACATCATGTTCCTTAGCTTTTTAACTAGATAATCAGTAACATTTTACTGTTGTCATTAAGAGCCAGTTTGTTACAGAAAAGATGTTCATGCTTTGCAGCAAGATAGGGGAATTTCAACAAATGATTTGAAATCCATGCAAAATGAAAAAAATGTTCTTGCTCGAAATTAATTTTGTGCTTAAGCATTGCTAGGACATCAATAGCTGGTGCTTTTTTATATTTCAATCAGACTCCAGTTTGGAAAGAGATGTTAAGGTCAGACGTGAAATCTTCCAATTGAATACCAAACAAAATCCAGCCAGTCAAACTTTGCATATTCAGGTTTTTCTGCACAGGTAGGCAAACATAAGCTTTCTTGTTCTCTATCAAAGCTCCTTTGTCACACTAGTAATGTAAGCTTGTAGAGAACATCTGCTCCACAATTCATGCGGCACACTTCATGTATGAAAGGTCGTATTTGCTCTCAGTGAGCTGACTTATATGAAACAGCGGGAACAGTTCCTTCAGTCAGCTGCTAAAGATGAACCGACACTGAACTCTGAGTAAACAGACATGGAAAGAACAAATGCTGAGGCAAAATCCCACAAGGGCACAGGCGAGAGGGTGGTTGGGCAAATAAAATATAGTTTGAATATCTATTAAATCTTACTTCCACTGAATGATTAGGTAAAGCAGCAAATACAACATTGCTAATATTTTAACAGCTGCCCAAGCTGAATAATAAACTGTAAGCACATAATTAAACAGCATCTGACAGTCGTTCCTGTAGCTCTCACTGTACACTGAAGTTAATGAAGTCGAAGCCATTTGCTGTTTCTGTTACTTCTGCGTGTTTCTAAGTTCAATTCAGAAAGTTCATGTTAGAATGAAAGCGGCACTGTTGCCTAATTAGGCTTCACAAGGCTGTAGCTCCTTATACACACGCACACACACACACACACACACACACACACACACACACACACACACACACACACACACACACACACAGAGAAAGAATCAGAACACATCCCCTCACTACATCAGAGGAGAAGAAGCAATTATGGTAACTCAGGACAATGGACTATTACCATTGATCTTAGCTTTGCTCTTTTATCAGAAAAAAAACATGACAAGGTATTTAAGGCGGCAATCAGCCGTGCGATGATAAAAGACCAGTAGATACACATCAGAGGGAGGCAAAATGAGGTAATTGAAGTGATTTCAGTACATCTCAGATTCTGATCCTCTCACTGTGAGACTGAGGAGGAGCGACAACCCAGTGAGAAAGCAAAGTCATCTTCTGCCATTGTCAGTGCCAAATGATACTGCACATTATAGGAGAGTAATTAGACTGAGATCAAAGAGCATTTTAACGGTAATCTGCTTGAATGCATGATCAATTGTCTGTGTGGTGAAATATTGATCCTCATGCTCTGGCAAGACACAGAATTATGGGCTTGTCAGGTGATTTTAGGGCAGTAGGGATTGCAATGTCAGTCAGTCCTCCACTTTAGTCCAGACTGACTGAAACTATCAGATGGACTGCCATAGAATTTTGTGCAGACCTTCGTGCAGTGGCTCTGAGAGCCCAACACGCTACAACTTCAGAAATCACATACAAATTGACAAACCACAAGTAAATTAACAAAATGTCTTCACCAAGTGGACAGATGCACAATACTAGAAGACATGCAGCAAAGTGATAAAACACAACCAAATACAGAAATTTGCTGCAAATACAGAAAATACCACTAAATACAAAAATTCTGCATGCAGCACAGATTAGCCTGGGTGATATGGCAAACAAATATTTTTTATTATTATATATCGATATTTATCACAATATATAATTTAATTTTGTTGCCATTTTAAAGAGACTGTAGCTTGAAGAAAGCAGCAGAGGGTCCATTAGTTATATACACTTTAGAATATAGTTTATTAACATAAAAATATAACATAATGTAAACCTTTAACACTGCAAACGTGCTTGCCTTGTAACTTAATAAAATGATGGTGTGGTCACTGAGATGGTACTACCTTCAGGTGATGGAAAGGATTTGAGGCTTCCTCTGTTTGTTGACTTGGACTGATGGCAGACCGTATTAATCTGAGCATTGTAGTTTCTGAGATATCCAAACCACTTCCATACAATCGACGTTGTGTTCCCTCTGCTTTGGAGGATAACGGCTCTTAAGCATAAAAAGCTTGTGTTCTGCTTGTTCAACACAAATGTTTGATAAACTGATTGAATTGAGATCATTTTGATCTTCTGACCTTTCAGGTCATATGTCCAGTATTCAGGTTTATGGCTGCAATACCCTTCAGTCTCTAGTTTACTTTGTATTAAGTGCTAATTAGCAAATGTTATCTATCTAACACACTAAACTAGCATTGTCATTGTGACCATTTTAGCATGCTAAGGTTATAATAGCTCGGCTTACAGAGCTGCTTGCATGGCTGTGGACCCTTAGCCCTGTTTATTTTGGGCTTTTAGTGCCTTTATGATAGTGACAGCTGAAAACAGACAGAAAAGGGGGGCAGAGAGAGGGGATGACACACAGCAAAGGGCCACAGGTCGGATTCGAAGCCCTGGGCCGCTGGACTCAGACTTGGTACATGGGTCGCCAGCTCTACCCACTGAGCTAACCGGGCACCCTTAGCCCTGTTTATTTGCATGCAGCGTTTGTACTTTCCTGTTTAGCTGCCATATATATCTGTAATGAATGCATCCATGTTCTCATGGAAAATGCACGTGCGTAACAGGTGTATTTATGGCACGAGACATGGACAGTAAAAAGAACATTTGGGCAGGCTTCTATGTTTGTGCCTGCTTACTGCTCGGTGAGCGCCTGCCTACCCTCCCTGCTGAATAATGTAACAAGTGGTGAGTGGTGTGGGTGGTGGAGAGGGATGGCCTCTCCTCAAAATAGACTCCAGTGCAAAAGCAGAGACAAGATACAGTGGCACACGCTTAGTTATGAAACAGTTCCGACAGCAAATGGCCATCTGCAGTAAATTTACAAAGCCAAAACCACTGCAGTTTGGACAGAGTCACACTGTAGGTGTCACTTCTGGAGGAACCATCCTGGGTCAAATGAAAACAGAATAACGCAGCCTCAGCAGCACATTGGATAACAGGGAGAGTGTCATTTTCATTAGAAAGGTATGATGTCTAACAGCTAAGAGAAGAAAAAGGCTTCAAGGAAAATGGTGTGTGTGTGTGTGTGTGTGTGTGTGTGTGTGTGTGTGTGTGTGTGTGTGTGTGTGTGTGTGTGCTGAGGTTTTCTTGGTTCATCTCTGGAGTGAACAGGCGAGGTGAAGCATATAACAGGCATGCAAACAGCAGCCAGCCCTGATATTGCCCCTCCGGCCAATGAGGCAGGGGTGGTCACTTCCTCCCTCCCTCCCTCCTCTCTCTCTCTCTCTCTGTGTATGTGTGTGTGTGCGCGCAACCTGAGCACACACACGTCCTGGCTTTTTCAGCAGAGTGAACCAACTCCAACTTTCTCTGGGCGGGCGGCGTTCAGCACTTTGTGAGGCTGGAGAGCGAATAAATGGAGCACAGAGCAGTTGCATTAAAGATGATGGGCAGGGGGACACTAATGGTGGCATGTGTTAATAAGAAATTCGTGGGCACGTTTTGAGAGTCATCACATTTCTGTGCATGCACTCAGCGTCAGGTCTCTCCACTCTGTGTGGTAGCAGCGGATGCGGTACTATTTTTAGAAACAATGTTGCGGTAGAGGAATCAATCAAACTGGGACTAAAACAGTGTGTTCATGGCAATCTGCTGCTTTTAGTGCTGCAATCTTCTGAGATCCCCATCTACGCTCGCCGGGTCATGGGATAGGACGTAGCATTTATATCTATCTCTTCTCAGCTGCTGCAACATGATGCATTTTCCTCTGATGCTCTCCAGGAAAGCACACCGGTGGACTGCAAACTTTTGCACCATGCAATCCACTACACTTCATGGCAACAGTGGCTGCAATGCTTTTGGGACCTCATGTAGTTTTGTGTCTTTTCACAGTCTTAGAATTTCTAAAGAACACTGCAGTTTGGGATGTGAATGAGAATTGTTGAATGATAAAGATCTGAGGAGCCTGGAAATCGGGAGGGGGGGGGGGGGGCACACTGTTTTCTCATCCTCTTTACTTCTAAGTGTGAGCACATTTTTTGCTGGCTCTTATGGGAATTAAGCACTCGTCCCGCTGCATGCTCCTCAGGAGAAAAATGGCGGAGTCTGAGAGCAGTGAGGTAAGTGTGAGAGACACCTTTTGATTTTCCAAAATGAGAGTGCTCAGTTTTTTTTTTGTTGTTTTTTTCCGGACTCTCTGTCCTGAGTCCTTAATGCGTCCTGCAGCATGTGTTCCTGCATTTTAGTAGAAGTTGCACCTCGGGCAGAATGCAGAATGCTGGCTGTCCGGATAAAAGAGACAGCAGTCAGAGTGATAGGCTCCATCTCTGGAGGAAGGATGTTAACCCCCCCCCCAAAAAAAAACCAGGCATTTTTTGCAGAGCAGGCAAGTTAGTATTCCCAACATCGAGTGCACTTCATTCACCGTCTCACTGGTATATAGATTTTGAACCGTGTAGCTCCCAAGGTTATGGTGTTCTGCAGAGGTTTCACTTTTATGTTACTAGATGACAGGGCAGCGACAGGATGTTCCAGGAGGATCTGTTCTCTTTCTCTCACAGTTCTCGGATAGGGACGCCTCTGACAGGGTCTTTAAGCAATGTAAATGCATTTGCATCTGTGCACAGAAGGAGAGCCGGTTTTAATGAAGAATAGTGCGTGGTGATGTTGAGAGGGACGGAGTGTGTTGCTGCTTCACGCTGCGCTGTGATCGGGATTACTTTCGCTGTCCAAGGTACTGCAGCGCCATGCAGACCAATCGCTGGGACTTAGTGTGTGGAGCAGTTCTGAGGAAAGTAGGATGAGCTGAAGACGTGATGTGTCAGCAAGAGTGTACATTATTAGCTTCCCATAGGGCCAGAATGGGGATCCCCAGGATGCAAGAAATAGTTTGAGTCTACCTCTTACAGCCCCACTAAAAAATGCATTTTCCCACAGTGCACATTATCTGACACATTTACTGAAGAGCTAATCTATTTTGTCTTGTTTTTGAGCTATAAATTGAGTACAGCACAACGTGAGCCCAATGTTTTATTGAGCCCTGTGCCACATCTGTATTCACAATGTGACTGGCTGCTGAAGGAGCAGTGCTGATTCATCTGCAAGTGATTCTTAAAAGATTCAAACACCCTGTGGAGTTGAAGACAGCCTCGTGTTGCTTTATTAAACATTATTCATCAGATAAAGTTCCCTCAAAGCAAGTTTATTCACGGGAGGAGCCTCCCTTATCAAACTCTCAACATTTTTGCACGTCTGAGGGCAGCAGGCACCTGATACATTATAATGAAAGGATACAGCCTGGATGGATGAGCTCTGCCTTCCGCTGCTCTCTGCTCTTTTGGAATATTTGTGTCCTCAGAGGCGCTTAAGTGCCGTAATGGCAAAAGACCAAAGTGTATCTCTTTCCTGAGAAATTTTTCCATGAAAGTATCATTTAAGATGATGATTTCCTCTGACCTTACCACAGTAAAAAGCCCTCGGGCCATTATAGCCTTTAAGTCATCTATCTGGTACATTTTTCCAGATATGCATTGAAACACCAATTTCCCATTCAACTGGCATATCATTTCCCCTACAAATCCACCTACTGACATTATCACTGTAACATAAGTAGGCTACCAATTGAATGTCCTTCTCAAATAACTGTTATTAACACACCTATTATTCTCACCTCCATGTGGAGGTAAGGATCCAGTCTGAAATAGAACCCCAAATGTTTTTATCTGTCTCAGGGGTCAAAGGAAAGGACATGCCACCCTGTCTTTCCTGTGTCAAGGCATCTCAGTTACACTCAGTGCAGCTGCTCTCCTCTGCACCTGCTGCACCCCAAGTCTCCTTTAATCTATCCCTTAGCGATTTTGTTTTTCTGCATTGCAACTTTTTTAAAGTTCTTATTGATTATGTATTAAACTTGGCAGCCTTAATCACCTCTTCTGTGGCCCTGTCTTGTAATTATTGACTGTTGGCTTGGTGCCAGCTGTGTATCAAATCCTGCTTCTTTGCTTTTTCTGCTATAAATTGTTTTTAGAAGATGGCAAAGATTTCATCTGCAGTCTTTACACATGTACTGACTGTACGCATCTCGTAAGTCCGCTTAGTGTAACTTGAGGTCAGTTGCTAAATGGAAACATTTGTTTGTAACAAGGGATAAGTAATACACCAATAAAATATATTATCAGTCAGTTACTGTAAAATCTCAGTTAACAGTTGTGAGAAATAGTGGGTTAATATGCTGCACTGTACTGAAGTGCTGCCTCTTCAGATCAACATCATGGCTTAAAGGATTAAGAGAAGTTCAACAGTTGGTCTTTCCTTTATAATAACAAGTCTCAGTGCATCTAATCTTTTATATAAGGAATCAAAAAAAGACAGTTTTTATGTACAGAGGCTTTATTACCATTATTATTTGTACTGATCAGCTGCAAATCCATTAAAGGCAAGGAGAAGGCAGCACTCAAATTATTACTTAACTGTTAAAATACGTTAATTTTGCATGATTTAATGATTCATTTATTGGGTTATTCATATTTGGATGTTGCAGTTGTTGTTAGGAGACTTGGCATGTGTAGTAGCAGAAGGCTAACTGGGTAGGTATAAATGAGTACAGCCATGCTAGCAGCTCTGAAAATAGGCAGAGTGGTGCTTTGAGCAAAATGCTAACCTCAGCTAACATGCTGACAATAACAATGGATGATTAGCAAGCATGTTTTTTTTTTTTTATCATGTTCACCATCTTAGTTTAATGTTTTAGCATGCTAATGTTTGCTAATTGGAACAGCTGAGACTGATTAGTTTACTTTTGCTCATAAATCAAAGCAGTGTACAAATCAACATCTTGATGGTGCATATAGTTAGAGGATGACTCGAGTCAGTAGGCTTCATCCACCAGGGAACCATGAATGTCTGAACAACATTTCACGACAATCCATCAAATAGCTGTGGAGATATTTCAGTCTGGACCAAAGTGGTGAATGATGGCTGACTGGCTGACATTACCATCCCCAGAGCCACGCAGCATGGCTTAAAATACTTCTATGATGCATCATTAATGAACACCTCATATGTAACAGGTCAGTGTGAATGCACCATGTTGTGACCAGTTATTTTTACGCATTATTCTTCTGGTCATATGTCCCAGTCTGTGGCATTTAAGCCCAGCAGGAATACAGAGGACAAAGATGACTAATGATGGCCGTTTTAAAGAGATAGATACAGGTAGGCGAAGGAAGAAGAGAAAGAGGGGGAGAATGGACTCTCTCAAACAAGGAAGAATCAGTGTCAATGACAGAAATCCTACTCTAAGTCTGTTAGATCTATGTGTCGCAGAGACTTCACTGACACAGTAAGTCTCAACAGTAAGACTAAGGTTTCTAAGGTTATTCACCAGATGGACTCTATATGCCATGGCTGTGGCTCAAGGAGGGTGTGCTGCAAAACTGTATTTTTATGCAAATGCATGAAAAGGCAGGACTAGTAGTAAAAAATACTTTATTTTCAAAGTAATAGAGAATGTGCACGAGAAAATGAATAACCTTATGCTGTGCCTTCATTAGCTTTCCTGTATTTTCTTCCTTCCTATTTCCAGATTCAAAATGAAATATACTGTTGTAATACTAAAGCATCGCTGTCAGTCGTCTGAAAACACCACCTATTTTTGTCCACTGTGCCAATTTATCATTTATATTTAGAAGCCTGAAAGTTGGAATGAGAATAAACACCAGAACGGCTTACTGGCTCAGAACTGAGATGCTGGGAGTCCGTTTCTCCATCTTACTTACTCACAATCCAACACACACACACACACACACACACACACACACACACACACACAGACACACAGACACACACACACACACACACACACACACACACACACACACACACACACACACACACACACACACACACACACAGACATCATGGCTAGACCTTCCCAGCTGGCCTCAGAGGTGATAATCAGGGCATTATGGGTGTACCTTCTGTGCAGAACAGAGCTTTCTCGCCATCTCCGCCTTCTGTAGACAGACTTGGTGTCAGGGATCAGAGTATCCGCTGCACACTTGGACTCTCTGGACTCTGTGAACTCACCAGACTGCTTCATGAATCTGTAGACTGACAGATGAGCTGAGAGGCATGACAGCAGATGAAAATGTTAAGGGAAATGGCGGAGAAGTCAAAGCCAATCACTATCCGCTAATGCAAATGGAAGCCTGTCATATTGTTGAAGCCAAGTTGGCATTACATCCTTGTTTGGCTTCTTACTCCAAAAGTGATTTGACTAACAAAAGAGTCCTCAGTCTCAATGAGCCTCTTTCTTCTTTATCTCTCTCTTTATAGCAACCACAGCCACAGCCACAGCCACAGCCAATCCGCATAATTCCATCCCAGTCGGCACAGCCCACCTCATTGCCCAAGCCGGTGCCTTCCATCCAGCATGCCACGAGACCTCCTTTGCCGCCACATACACCCCATGCCGCCAGCCTTTCTAGCTGTCCTGGGCGGGGCAAGATGTCCAAATTCCTCAGCCCGGAGGAGATGACCTCACGAGACTACTACTTTGACTCATATGCGCACTTTGGTATACATGAGGTACGCCTGTATGTCCTATCAAAATGAGAATCACTCACAAACACATTTATTTTCTGTTTTCCTATTCCTGTGTTCATCCTTGTTCTCAGTTTTCACATTCCTATTTGCATTTCTGACACATTCTTTATGGAAGTTCCAAGAAAACGCTAAATTGTGCACTGCCTGCAGTTACTATTTCACCCTGTGGAATATGCATCTTCCTTCAAACATTTGACATCAGATAATGTTGAGTTTCCCTGGCAGTTTCCCTTGGATCTCAGCATTGAAGTCTGTGGATAAATTGTCATTACAACCAATAGGAGAATAGGAGGCTAAATTACAAATGTCCCAAGTCCCAAGTTGTTAAAGTAGTTGTTTTACTTTAGTCTGAAAATTGAACAAAACTGGCAAAAAATACCTGGCAAAAGTAACTCAAATAGAGCATTCCAACTTTAAAAGCCTACACTAAAGCCGTTATCATACTCCAAAATGGACATGGACACCTGCAGATTTGGCAGGCTTCTATACCTACTATAATTGACCCCCACATTTTCACCTAATTGTTTCAGACTCCTCTATTGTGTGTTGGTACGGCACTTTTATGATGATTGTGTGTGACATTTTTCCTGAACTTAACCTCCCAGGTAGCTTATCCTCCTGCTGTGTACTGCTCCAACAGCCTACAAAAACCAAATGCTATATGTCATAGATGTTTAGAACCATGGTCGAGGTTATGGTCAGCCAATCCCATCAAAGGACATGAGATGTGAACCCAGCCTGAGAGAAATTTCTGCCTGGGATACTGATGCTCTGCTAAAGCTGTACATACAGTTTGGACTTGACGGGGAATGGTGGAGGACTGGGGCAATTTTGATTAAGATATACTTCAAAACCTATGAAACTTTTTCAATCTTGCGCTCTAACTTTCTTTATGTGTTTCATATTTCCACTAGTGAAGATTATATTTTCATCTTTTTTTATCAGAGTTTAGCAGAATTGTAAATATAGGAGAGAGAAAGTATTAGAGGTTGTGTAAAAAGAGCATGTTCCTAGTGTGACCTGTGAAATGTTTTTTTTTATATTTCTGGAATGTAGGTCAGGTATATATTTTTGTCATTTCTGAATATTCTTCACACGCACACATGCATGCACTCGGTAAGAGAGACTCTGTTGGAGAGAGAGAGAGTCAGAAAAGAGATGCAGACAGACTGAGCCTGCAGGCTCATGTGGCTTATTCAGAAACCCCAACTATGGATTTGAATATAGAACCATACGGCTGAGACGTAATAGAGTAAGATTAGGTGAAGGCTGTGTGTTATTTGTCAGCCCTCCACTGCAGATACCACAGCAAATCCAGACCCCCATTGTCCAGCCGATGTTTTTAATTCAGCAAAACAAATTGTCGCTCTCCACATGGGTGAGCTGTGTCAACATCTTCCTGATATCATTTGTCATATGCTAAACCAGGAGATGCTGAAGGACGAAGTGAGGACGCTCACCTACAGAAACTCCATGTACCACAACAAGCACGTCTTCAAGGACAAAATAGTGCTGGATGTTGGAAGCGGGACTGGGATCCTGTCCATGTTCGCGGCCAAAGCAGGGGCAAAGCACGTGTATGGGGTAAGAAGTGTTCCCTTTCAGTGGACTGTTATCCTGCTGAACCATTAGGGTCTAATCACTCTGGATCCCAGTCTGACAAGCTGCTCACACTGTGTGTATGTACTGTATGTGTCCGACTGGCTCTCTGTGGATCTGCACATACATTTGATCCATGTTTCGCCAAGACTCCCTATAATCTTAGAGGAATATCTTGTGTGACAGGCGGGTGATAAAAGTGTGTGGCCTCTCAGGCAGGTTGACAGGCTGAGTCGTAGCGATCTGAGAGCTCTTTCTGTTATCGTGTACTGGCGCAGAAGTAATTGCTAGTCAAGGCACGTCTGAGAATGCATGCTGGATACACACCGCTAGTTTGGGATAACCACGTGGAACTTATTTTTGTACGGTGGCTCCAGACTGCATATATTTGCTTAAGGGAATGATTAACTTGCAATTGCTAAGAGACTTGTTCTGAGCTAGTGTTTGGAATTCTGTGTTCATGTGACTTCGCCTCACGTCGAACGTTTTGTTTTCCTTCCCTCTTCTGCTGTCTCACTCACTTCCTCTAACCCCCTTTTTGTTCTTAAACTGAAAAATCACTTCAGTTTGTGCTTTACCTCACAGTTGTGTTACTGCTGTCCATCTGGCCGGATTTATTCTACATAATGGGGCTAAGATTTAAGGGATTTTGTTCATTTTTGATTTAGTATGAGCTCTGCACCAAGCCCAACACCTTCATCATACCTAAAGTATATAAAGCTCCATGTGAAAAGAATGGGCTCTGGCCCAAAAAGAACATCATGTGAACCTCGTTACAGAAAAAAGAAAAGCGATAACCTGTATTCTGGATCCACTAAGTTCCCATAAAAGACTCTTGGCCCTGAAATCCATATGTATCAGAGCGATATAATCATGAGCACACATTTATGTATCCTACATTTCTACCCCATCAATAATAATAATAATTATTAAAATGAAACTGAAATATCTTTTAAAACAAACACTTAACATATACTTGGTTCATGTTATATTTGTTCATATTCTTATGATTGAAAAGGTTTCTCCCTGATAACGCAGAACATGATATGCTTATTTGCACATAAAAAGGGTGCGGCACACAGAAAATATTGCTAGGGCTAGCAGGGGGAGTATGTTAAACATCACAGACACGTAGCATGATTGCTAAAAGGAAAGCCACAAATAATAATAACCAGGTAGGCAACCTGAAGGTAAACTTAACCAGGTAAGGGATATGCAAAGGATCAATTCAGGTAATTGGGAAAACAAAGGCAGCTGGAGTGCTTAGCAAAGTGCAAAAGACAACCTGGCAGGGGACATTTGGGGGTGGACTGGTATAAATACTACTGGAGTAATCAGGAAGAATAGGGAGAAGGTGAGCGGATGAAACTAGTGGAGTGGAGTTATGAGAGGAAAGGAGGGTGTTGTTGGGTCTGCGGTGACAGCAGATTTAACAACAGGGACGAAAACAGGTGGACTGAATGAATACAAGAGATCAGAGAGAATTCCTGACAGGGACATAATCTACATTTCAAACAGGGTTTAACTACTTTCTATTAATAGAAGGTGATGAGAATAGTGGCTAGAATGTGCTGAGCTTATTGTCATTCAAATGTGCACAGGGATGACTGTCTCCTGGAAGTAACGTTAGGCATTTGCAGATGCTGGTTGATAAGCTGATAGGATATCAAAGCTTGTTCATGTAAGTTTGTTGTAGAATGCCCTCGAATATCGTCAGTACATTTGCAAGCGTAGCTTTTGTCTTCCTTAACTTATTTCCAATGTACGTATGACTCGCTGGTTGAGAGCTCAGACAGAGGGGAGAAGTGCCATGGCACCTGGACCAAGTTAGAAACTTGTACTTGTTGTTACTCCAGAGAGAAGGACTAGTGGGAGCCCACAGTTATTACAGTGACAGTGACTTTTTCTGACACTAGTGAGAGGTGCAGGAGGCACCGTGTGAGGGTGTGTTGACTCTAAACACCCCTCGAGGCTTCAGTACTCCCACGGAAGCATGACTCTGATGGACACGTGGCTAATGGCTGTCTCTTCTCACACAGATTCAGAAAGAGATGAGGAATCATTGCCAATTAGAGAGCTGTCATTGGCGGCCATATTATCACACAGCAATACACACATATGCCTGCAAGTGCATACGCGTACATACACACGGTGCAATATCAGGCATTCTTGTTTGTTTATGCAGTTGATACAGCCTAGGTTTTTAATGGGCAGGTGCATCAGTGTTGTGTGTTTGCAGGCCGTGGGCGCCACCAGCAGCTTCATGTCTGGTCCTCCACTAATAGGCAGCAGAGAATAGGGCTGCTCCAGGGAAGCAGTGCTAATGTCAAGTCCCTGCATCCTGTGTGAATGCTCAGCAGGAAATCTGAAGACCTTCACTCGAAAGCAGAAAAAATACAAGAGGATACCTCTTAATTTGTCCCTCTCACAGTTGGTGTGTTGCTTATAGAGCACAACTAATCAGTTTCGGCCTCTAAAATAAAAGCCCCCCCACCTAATTCTTCCACGAGAGCTTGAGGCATAGTTGAGTGCTTCTATTTTTCACCCTGCTCTCTACGTAAGGTTCCCAGCCTGGCTTTACCTTTTTTTACGATCCAGAGCACCTAGAGTTCATTCAAGAGTCTACTTGATTACAACCAGATGGATGTCCTGCAGCACGAATAAGTCCGCACACCTCTTACAAACAGAATCCCAGGGTAGGAGGACCAGAGTGCCCAGTCTCAGGTGAAAATCTATACTCTCAGACTGCCTGATGCTGGGAGAGTATTGTATTGACCAATGCCTCCTGCTGAATTATGCTCTTATTTTGTTTGGGAGCTGCTTACAAGAAGTGTCCAGAGAATGAAAGACCTTTATTATCTTATAACTCTGTTATTGCTGGCAACTCAATAATTCATCCAGCATTTGGTGGACAGAAGAGGAAGTATAAAATATCTCAAGCAAGGAGCTCAGGACACAGAAAGAAAGAGGACAGAAAAGAAAAGCTACAATGAAAATAAAATAGAGGGCATGGAGATGCAGGAAAGAAATTGGACAAAGAAATAAGCAGTGGGGTAAGGATAATTTAAAAGAATTTAAAGTGTCAAAAGAGTAATGGAAGTAGAAGTTGAAGGTCCCATCGGAGCTAAATGGCTGGTTGCAGTTGAGCAGTGACTAGTCTTCACCTTAATTACTTAAAGTAAGATGCTCTGGCAACGTTTCAGGGACTGGCACAGAGGCCTGTCACCTTGTAATTTCTATCCCTTCATATTCTTTTATCGTCTGCCATTTTCAGCATGACACCAGGACACTTCTAATGCTAAATTGCAATGCAGAGCACAATGCAGATGATACTCTCTCCCTTGCTGGTTACCTGCTGCTGTCAGGCTCACAAGTCACAAACATTCTGTAAGTGATAAAAAACGTTATTGCTATCAAACGCTGCAGACAGGAAGAACTCCTCTGACAAAATGCCTTCACAAACTAAAAGCTGGCTGGCTCTCCTTTCTTTTACAACTTGCTAAGACCCAGCTGGCCAGTTTTTCATTGTGCAGTCTTTTGTATTAATATGTATTTAAATAATTTAATTATATTCAATATTAATTTTAAAAAATGATAGGGAGTGATGAGACAAGTTCCATCAACAGAAATACGCTTTCAGGTTTGCTAGCCAGGTGCAAGCCTACAGTGTTTTATTCAGGACTGGAGTGGAAACCATCCACAGAGAGATACTAAACAAAGATGACCTTGTTTTCTAGCCCAGAGAGCACGTTATGGTTGCTGCAGTGCTGGACAGATGAACATGCTCGGAGCAATAACTCCAAAAAAAAGATTCAATACTGGACGTTCTTTATTCTTTTTTTTCCACATCAGACAAAGAACTGGAGTGCGAGAGGAGTGGAGCAATATGATTAGGAGAATTTGCAACTGTCTGTAATTACCACATGTAGGACATAAATTATCATCAGTCTGCCTCTAACCTTCTAGGGAAGAAAACTTCTAAAAAAAGCATCATCTGTCTTTAGCAGCGGTGGGACTTTACTTGAGTATTTTCATTTCAACTACATTATACTGCACTTCTACTCCATTCAATTTATGTGACAGCTTTTTTAGATCTAAGTTTATAAAACTCATTATTAAAGCAGCGTGATTTTGGATTATCTATGAGAAACTAGCAGTTCCACCACAGAGTGATTTCTCCTACAAACTTTATTAATGGGGTCAAATAATCCATTATCTAGCATTAATCATCATGTGAACCCCCAGGTTGAGGGGGCTTGACCCCTATGTTGGGAACCACTGAACTAAACTACCTAGCTGTATATATATATAAAAAGGTCAAACTAGCTGCACACTGTTGTATCAGTTCCAGCTGAATATGTCATATATAGGCCTAATAATATACCACTGGGATGAAATGAGTACTTAAACTTTAAAGCTAAATACATTTAGCTGCTAATACTTCTGTACTTTAACTTCTCATATGTAAATTGTATTTTTACATTTACTAGTACTTTGAGGAGTTTTTTATTTCACACTCTCAATTTAATACCGATGCTTATATGACCGTTGAGAAGACTGGCTATTTATAAATAGTTATTCTTAAGGCCTGACACTGGATCAGATTTGATCGGATTCACAAAGTGGAAGAAACACCACCGCTTTTGTCGACGGGGTCTGCCAGACACTGAACGTTCTTTGTTTCTGCTTTAAGTAAAGGATCTGAATATTTCTTCCACCACTGGTTTTCAGAGACTAACTTTTATAACCATAGCTAGCCATTATACATTTCTATCCAACAAAACATATGGATGGACTTAAAATGTCAGGATTGAATTGAAGTGAATTAGTGTTCTTAATAGAAGGGGGACTAAAGGGTTTAATAGTTATTTTATGCCTTGTCTTTGCAACTGAATTTAAAGTATGCATTTATCAAATAGGTACATCAGCTACAGAAACATAGTTCATCTGAGGCCTTCCAGTAAACATTATTACAGCAGTAACATTTAAAGTCTTCTGAATCTGCATTATAGGCAAACTGAGGACATGTTATTGTGCAGAAGAAATTCCATTAAAGATCTTCTTCCCAAAGCACCACAGTCCTACATCTATGGTCAAATAATTAGATTTTTTTCCCCTCTCTTCCAGATTGAATGTTCCAGTATATCAGAGTACTCAGAGAGAATCATCAAGTCCAACCACCTCGACAGCGGTAAGAGCTGCAGCTGTTCCTCCTCTCTCCGTTCTGATGACACTGCACTTCATCTGCAGTGAGGGGAGCAACAAACGTGGTTATAGTCGTGACAGGCTTAGTGATTGAAGAGGAGGGAGGGAAGGCTGGCGGATATGCATGAGGAGAAGAAGAAGAAGAAGATGAGGGGGGTCATGGGTATCCCGCCGTTCAGGATTTTGAATGATTGTGAGGATGGTGTAATTCTGAACCTGTGTTTATCATTCTATACGATGCTAGGCTGGCTCATTTGTATTCATTTGCACAAACATTCTTCCAACTTATGTAACTTCAAAGCATATGGTTCTGTCATAATGCCCCTGCAACTTTGAAAACAAATTTACTGACTGTGCATCTACCAAATGGTAGGTCCATAAACCACCCTGTCAGCCAATGTCCTATCTATAAACCTATGAATATTAAGTATGCACAAGTAATTGAGCAAAGAGTTAACACTATGTTCACTCTGAGTTTTAGACAGTGAATAAGCAGGAAGCAATCAGCAGTTGGAGCGATAGGGTTCATACACTTGTATCACCAGGGAAACTCTTGAAAAACTTCTCGCCAAGACAGAACAAACAAAGCCGAAGTCAGCTAATCCCAGGCAGGGCAAAGATCCATGCGTCCATTGTAAACCCTAGCTGGGCGGAATTTTTCTGTCTTTCTTTCTTTCTTTCAAATATTCTTATCAGTTTATTTCTTGCACACGCTAATATAACACAGTACCTTCTTGTTTTCAATAGCTTAAGAGATGGTATGAAAAATAACATTTTCATTGTACTGTGATACTGTGAAAAATCCAACTTCAAATATTTTGATATGTATTTAATTTATAATAATAATTAAATGTTTTGTGTTGCAGTGATCACCATCTTCAAAGGAAAGGTGGAGGAGGTGGAGCTTCCTGTTGAGAAGGTTGACATCATAATATCCGAGTGGATGGGCTACTGCCTGTTCTATGAATCCATGCTCAACACCGTCATCTTTGCCAGGGACAAGTGGCTGGTACAGTATGAGCTGTGCAGTGTGTGTGTGTGTGTGTGCTGTGTGTGTAGACCTGATATTTTATGTAAGTTTATCCTGAAATAACATCAGTAACAAATCTCCCAAGGATGAAATAAACCATCACTGTAATAATTATGAATTATGAATATTGAAATAAATCATGAATAGTTTTTTTAGAAAATACTGTGAGGTAACAATTAAAATTTTAATGACTTTTCTAGATATATTTGAACTGTCATCTAATAACAGAACCAATTAAATTATGATTAAAAAGGTCTTAAAATGTAGGTATTATCCAATATTTTAGCCGAATAAATAATGTATGTTGTTTTCTGCTTTAGTTTCTGCTTTAGTTTCTAGTGCTGTTGGAAGGACATTACTGCCACTTGAAAAAAAAAACTTAAACATGTTTCTATCATTATTGAGATAATAATAATTTGAATATAATTTCATTATTATGATCCATCTTCAAATGAATTCTTTATTAGCTGTGATGCTACAGCTAAAGCCAGAGATACGTTTACTTTATTGCTAAAATAATAAACTCAATAAAGCAATGCTGAAAAATACAAGCAAAGATTACAACATTTTGTTTTATTAATAAGGAGGATTGTTACATTATTAACTTCTATCTCATATTATTGTTTATTACCTCTGGTTATTGGAAAATAATAGTTGGCTCATAGTTATACATATACACTGCTCTGCTATTCCAGTCTGCATGCAGCGTCACGATAACACCACAGTGATTTGTCACCAGCGCTGTAAGGTAGACCTTCTGTGCCGCGTTTAGTTAGATTAATTGCTTAGTTATTTCCTTGTCTCGTTTGTCAAACAGAAACCCGGTGGATTGATGTTTCCTGACCGTGCCTCTCTGTACGTGGTGGCCATAGAAGACAGGCAGTACAAAGACTTCAAAATACATTGTAAGTTCAGTGTGAGAGTGTGTATGTGGGGCTGGATGTGTGTATTACCTGAAGCTGGCACTTACTTGTGCTGTACCTGGTGTACTCTGTGTGGCTCTTGGGTGGCTATTACGAGGATCCTTACATTGTAAATGAACCGTGGATGTAGAACACCGTCCACACCTCCGCATTGTACGCACACAAGTGTGGGCACGCTCATACACAACCTTTCCCAGCTCTGCAAATGATTTTGAACTTTTCCTTAGGCATAACACTGGGGGCGATAATTGATATTATAAGTCAACAAGCCTCTCCATCTCTGTATCATCCCACTCTAAACCCGCCAGGAGGACTGTGGGCGATGTTTTGCTGCTGGACAGAAAGCATTAAAACAGCGCCAAAGTCAGTGGTAAGCCTAGTGCACAACCCAGATGACAAAAGCCACGCAAACAGAACAATAGCCAATAGTCCTCCTACTCACACACCCACGTACATCTGGGAAATTATACAACCACACTGCATCAGCTAATATCCAGACAGTCATATCACATTGGCTCGCTGCTTTGCAACGCTTTACTTTGATGTCTAGATACTTCAGTTCCATTATTCTGTGACAAGTGGTGAGACAAGTGCACATATTGACCACAAACTTATTTCTCTCCAGGGCAGATGGCCTAAGATGACCTTCAGACTGAGTTAGAAGTGGCCTTCTGAAGCTCTCTAGTATTCTAAGAGCATCCTGTGGTCATTAATGCTACTCTGGGCTGCACACTGCCTTTGTTAAGTAGGCAGCAAGAAATGCAAATACAGTACATTACAGTCCCCGTGGGTTTGTGACCTGTTCATTATCACCAGCTCTCCGATTTACTCAAGTAGCTCTCTCTCACTTTTGGTCATGATAGAGATGTTTGCTCACACGCTATCTTAAGGAGTTTAATGAATAATGTATGGAATGATTCAGCCAAAGCAGCAAGGATATCCGAAGCAAGAGGGGAGGCTGCGTTAAAGGAGCCTTATGTTTACAGATCATCCCCAAACACAATGTGACTTTCATCTGTCAAAATGAAAATTGTTCCAAAATGACAGCAGGTCTAACTCTGGGGTGGTATATCACACTATTCTAGGACGCTCCCTGAGTAAGTGCCCGGCTTGTGTTGTTCTACAGCTGCAGCCCAACTGTTTACTCCTCCTGTTCCAACCCTATAAAACTTAATAAACTGAATCAAAGCTTGGAAAGAAGAAAACTATGTCATGTGTTTGCAGTTTACCAAGACTAACAGAAAACTGGTGGAAAAGTAACCAAACAATGCTGTATTTACCAGGGTGGGAGAACGTGTATGGCTTTGACATGACCTGTATCCGTAATGTGGCCATGAAGGAACCACTGGTGGACGTAGTGGACCCTAAACAGGTGGTGACAAACTCCTGCCTCATCAAGGTTAGTAAAATATTGACAATATTTTGGCTCATGGCAGATGATCGGGTCATTACAAAGCCTGACTAATTGTCAGCTGTAGACCCAGAGCAGTGAGAGTTTACATTGCTGTACACAGTTTTCTGGTAATGCCAGTGTCGGACCGTTGGGCGGTCATTCCATCACTTGCACTGCATGCAGGCTGAAATATCTCAACAAATATTGGATCGATTGCAACCAAATTTGATACGGATAACTATGGCGCCCAGAGAATGGATCCTATTGACTTTGCTGAACCTCTGATTTTTCCTTTTGCACCATGATGAGGTTGACATTTGTGGTTTTTAGTGAAACTTCTTGACAAGTACTGAATGGATTTCCACAGAGTTTGGTAAACACATTGATGTCCCCCTCAGGATGAAAATTGTAATTTAATTGTAATCATCTAGCAGCATCTTTTGATCAAGATTTCAACTGGTCCAATACTTTGGTTTATGACTTCATACCTGCAAAGCTAATGGCATTCCCATCAGCCTCAGCTGTACTTTATGTATGGTACCAAATGTTAGCATGCTAAGACACTAAACTAAGATGATTGTTATGGTTATGATTACACCTGCTTAGCATCAGCATATCATTATTGTATGTTAGCATGCTCATGTTACCATTTAGTTCAATGCACTACTTTGCCTAAATATAGCCTCACAGAGCCATTTGTATGGCTGTAGACTCTTACGTGGCATAAAAGCATTACAAAGCTTGCAGGCATGTTAATGGATTTAACTGGCACTTTCTGTTCTTTCAATGCCATTGATGGCCAGTGGTTGATGACATGTGCAGCCTATCAAACAATCTGTCCTGGGCTAGTGTAGAAACACAGCGATTTAGCATGGCGGACTTCATACCAGAGGATCTGATCCGATCAAAAATTAGTCATTCTAGGGTAACAAAAACCGAACGATTCTTATTTTCAGGTGATTAACCTATGACTATGTTCCATTTCTGCCAATAGTCCTAATATGTTACACACTGGACCTTTAATAGCTTTTTTGGAGTCATATCCCCACAGTCTCTAAGCTGGGGTAAGCAATCCACTACTATGACAAATACCATGATACAGTGCAAACAGCCACATAGAAAGGGACGTGACTAAGCTTTGTTGTGAGTGTGTATCTAAAGTTGCTGCTGCAAAGCTACCATGCAGAGAGGGCGAGACGGTTTCCCAGAACCAGCACACCAGCTCCAGACAATGATACTAACAGCTCTTCTGCTACTATAGCTAACATCACAACAGTAATTCTTGGCAAGCAAGAAATTAAGCTGAATGCATGTGCAAGTAATTTAACGTTACCTTTCACACAAATCATGACTGAAATGGCTGAGATAACAAGTTAGTGTTGTGTGGCTCCATCTGATCCGCTTTGTTTGTTTCCCATTTGCAGAGCCAGGGCTGTGTACAACCATCGGGTTTTCTTTTCAGAGTACACACAAAGTGGAAAGCGAGGAGATCTTTGCTGAATTAGAATTTGTTTTTTTATTGTTTTATATAGGAAATATTGGATCAGAATCACATTACCTAGAATGACATACCCCACCTTTAAAGTGTTCAGAAAAATGAAAAATGATGTACATTACCATGACAACGGGGCAAACTCTACCAAGTACTGATGATCATATAATATGGCATTTTGATTACTGGTAATTACTAAGGTATTCGTGGTACGACACACCCTGAGCACCATTTTCTAATCTCAGTGCACCTGTCAGCTGAAAAACCGGCACCAAAAGTAAATGAGCTGACCACACTGCACGTAATAAGGAGTGATTAAACTGTACAATGTCAATACATTAGCAGATGGCCCATAGAGAACTCTGAATAAGGCGGCTATTATAAACTGTAATGCAGACATGTCAGCAAGATTACAGTGGTAAAACACACACACATACATTAACTATAACTACTTAGTGACATGGATTGATTGGTATACATATAGTATGACATGCTGCAGCTGGTGTCAGTACGACCTTGATGTGTGGCTGTTTCCCTGCCTGTGCCTCTCACTGTGTGGATTAGAGTGATCAGGCTGCTGTGCCATGCATGTCAATAGCAGCCCGTCTAGTCCTCCTGATTGTGCTCCTTGTCATAGTGACCTTATGGCTGGAGTTGATTAGACGGCACTGCCCTGTCTCACCTCTGTGCGGGTGGGATATTGCTTTTTGATCATACCTTGACTTCAGTGCTGCTTTCTTTATGTTGCTGATTGTCAAGCACCCAGCATTTGTTTTCTTTGATATCAGACAGCCTTTCATTTTAAATGCAGTGAGATATAAAACCAGCAAAGAGATCAGTCATGAGAGTTTAATAAAAATCTATAAAGCTAATGGGAATGCTGCCTTGTCTTTGCAACTTGTAAAAAAAAAGAAGCCTTACAAATATGATACCCCGCTGACAAGCTTTATTGTCTTTAAATGGATTACTGAATGACCTCATTAAAGTTGTGTAGCTGAGGAGTAGTACACATAGGACCTCATGTTATTAGACTGCTGCTTGAAACTTTGGTTGCAATACTCAGTGAGGACCATTACCAAGTATAATCCTGCAGAAAATAATTTAACATTAACAACCTGCATGAACGTGCTCTTAAATGTTTTATTTTTCCTTTCGAGTAATTGCAAGGGGTAAATATTGCAGTGCATTATATTGCTGTCTTAAACTTAGAAATGTGACTTTTAGAAGTTTATACTGCATGACCAGCGTAAATATCTGAATAATGTGTTTATGGGAGTGATTATTTTCTCAAGACAGCAGAGGGAATCTGACATTAATATTACATTGTTTTTATTGCCAGCAAACAGAAGCCTCATTGCTCCACAGCAAATGTGGCATCTGGCACCAAAGCCAGCAAGCAAGCAGTGAATATTTATTAGCAGTACATGAAACAAGATTATCACACCTCTGCCTACATGTTTACCCTGTAGCATACTGTAGGTTTCAGGTGAGCTGCTCTGCTATCAAAGCTAACATGATATGTTGGCGCAGTGGCGTTCACACAACAGTAAACCAGGATGTGGAACAACATGTTCTTCTCTGAACGTGGCCTAGCGGGACGATGTGATATCAGATACCCTGTTAAACTGACTGGAACGAGGGGACATTTGGGATTTGCAGTTGCTAAAACTCCACATGAATAACACCTGGAGCTTGACAATAGTTGGACCTCCCTAATAACCCCAGGTCAACGATTCTTGTCCTACTTACACAAGGGTTACTGGCCTCAGTCTTGATAGTTATAGGATGTTGGCACAGTCCCCGTAGGGAGTCATGGAGAACCTATAATTCTAGTTTTTTGGTGTACTTGATGTATTGCATGTGAAATTACATATTAAATGTTCTTCTTGTTTCCATAGCATTTTAGATTGGTCATTCAAGATATTGGTCTCAATAAACAAAATAAATAAAAATAAGGCTTATTTGCTCTTTTGCCACAAGTTAAATGAAAAGAATGATGTCACACTCATGTCTGTTCCCTAGGGATCAAGCAAGTCTCTGCCCAAGTAGCAAAATTTCATTTGGTGGGACCACCACCAAATGAAATGCCATTACGGAACGAATGAAACAAAATTCTTTGGTATCATTTTTTTCCAACTGGTGTTCAGGAACAAAACACAAGTTCTTTCGGAAATGTATTTGTGGTGCATCTTTTATATAAAATATTATTATGAATCTAGACATCCATTATTTTCAAGTCAAAAGGCTCGAGTCCAAGTGAAGTCACAAATCATTGATGTTAAAGTCCAAGTCGAGTTGCAAGTCTTTTTTGATTGTGTCAAGTCGAGTCTAAAGTCATCAAATGTGTCTATAACTCTGCTCAGCACACCTAAAGCTGGCTAATTAACAATGTATTGTTTTAACACTTAAGTTTTTGTGAGGTTTTTAAGTCAACTAGAAGTTTCCCCATTTTCAGTAATCGTGCTAAGCTAGCTGCTGGTGGTAGCCTCATATTTAACTGACTGAGAGTGGTATCTTCTCAACTATGTAACTCTTGGCAAGTAGATAAATAAGCATATTTGCCATAATATGGGGACAAAGGGGTGAAAAGGGCTTAGAGATTAGACTGACCACTGACTTGTGGTGTCAGAGTTTCGTTTATGTGGTTCAGATATTTGAGAAGAGTCCATCTTTTTACTCCTCTAGGAAGTGGACATCTACACAGTGAAGGCTGAAGACCTCTCATTTACCTCAGCGTTCTGCCTGCAGATCCAGAGGAACGACTACATCCATGCACTGGTCACCTACTTCCACATTGAGTTCACTAAGTGTCACAAAAAGATTGGTTTCTCCACCGGTAAGTTGCCTCAAACTGACTCACACTTTACATACAGTGCAGCCGCGATCGAGGCATATGTGTGGGTGTGTATGAGCTACAGTCTGTGTATTCTTGTGGTGAAAATGATAATCTAAAAAATTATGTATCTCCTTTTTTATTACCAGTTTCCACAGAGAGATATGGCTAATGCTTCAGCAATAAAACAGCAACCCCCAGAGGTCAGATTGAGTATCTCCCTCGAGGCTACTCACAGAGCGGATACTTTACTGAGGCTGTGGGTGCTTTCTGCTCCTCATTAATATGCTTTCTTCCCTTGATAGCTTCAAATTTGTAATGTAGAAGAAGTGGACCCTTCTGGTTTTCAGCAAGGGAACAAGGGAAATTGATGACCTGGACTTGAAATCCAACAGCCCTTACTAGTGATAACAAATTGACCACAGGTTGGGCGGATGAAAGCACTGACCTATGCTGTAGTAAATTGTAGGGTATACTTCATGCTGGTAGCATGAAGATGAGGGAACAGGGGAGGATACTGATGGCCTTCTTTCATATAAACTGGAGCCAAATTTCACTTTATTGGGCAGACAGAAAACATCCACAAGAAAAACATTTTATGTGGATCCAAATGCTCCCAGGGGCTTGAAATCTAGACTCTCAGTTGACTGACAGCTTCACTAGGCACTTGCAGTATTACTGTAAAACGAGAGTAACAGGCTCAAAACATCCCAGGTTATACAGCGATCCATTTCTCAAGCTCATTGTGTTTCATTCCTGCCCCAGAAGAGTTGGTTGGTTGTTACTTGCTTGCTTGAAGGCATCCATCACAATAGTAAACATCATTGTCACTTTACTTTAGAGCAGTTCATTTTAGGCTTAATGACAGGATTCAAACATTGCCGATTGAAGTAACAGAAGTGTGTCAAAATCTGTGTGTGACTGACCTCTAGTGGTAGTGGCAAATATGGTACATTGAAAGAATATGTAAAGCAGAATGTATCTGTTGGCCCTTTGATACTGATAATTGTGTGTAACCTCTGATATTTTTTTAATGATCAACACCAGGGCTTTGTATCTTTTCCATTAAGAGATATAAAATCACAGCCCTCAGCCTTTTCTGCTCTACCCACTTCTATTCTATTGATTTTCTGCAAGTTTGCAAGCAAGTTTTTCCAATGTCAAATAAAAACTTCCCATTGATTCTGACAGTCCTTAAGACAGACGTATCGGACAGGCACAGAGCCTTGGCCAAGGAGAAAAAGGCAAGCAGGGGTCAGAGATTACAATTCACGCTGGTCAGTAGAAATGCCATCTCATCTACTGAATTTGCATAAACACCACAGCGAGCGTGTCAGTGTCTTTATTGAACTATGCCCCAAAAAATATGAGGCAGGCCTGTGCAGCAACCATGCTGATTGGCAGGCCCTTTGATCTGTGGACTCACAAAGAGCTCGTCTATAAAGGCAGAGCTACTGAGCTGCACCGGGACAGCTGGCAGAAATTCGATTTAAGCACTACTGACCTTTTGAATCTCGGCCAAGCGATCAGAGATGGTCAGGGCACTGGGGAATGTGCACATTTATTTTGGGGCTAGGGTGTCTCTCTCACACACACACACACACACACACACAGGCACAGACACACAAACATATACACACACACAAATGCACAAAAGGTAGCACAATGGATACAAACTGAAATGGTGATGAAAGAAGACTGACAATGGAGAGGTCAAGAGCGAAGTCACACATTTCCTGCTGTAAGTGCTGTAATCTTAAACTCAAGTGGAGCTACCTGCTCTTTTTGCACCATTGCTTTACAGAAAGAAGGATGTGTATCTGTGTTTCTGCTGTTTCTCTGTCCAGTTTGTGTTTATTCCCTAGTTGACATTCACATCAGTTAGATAGTAAACTCTGACAACTGACAACCTGTCCAGGATGCCTCTCTTGCCTTCTGCCCGGTGTTTGCTGGCATTGACATTAGAACCTTGGTAATACTGAAGATGGTTAACTGGATAGAAAAAGAAATCAATGCATCATTGACAGGGGGATAACATTTTGGCTTTTTTCGTTGTTGAGACATTTAGTTGGTGTGTTGCCAAAAACTTTGTTGGTACAACTTTCTTACCAGGCACTCTTTATAAAGGGTTTAATTGTAATCGTTTCTTAATGATTTGCAAAATGTCTCCTGATGCTTTATAAGAGATTATTAAGTTTAGGGTTGCCAGGTTGTGGAAAAAAAAACATTCATTAATACTCAATGGTTCACATTCCAATAAGTCATCAGTTATAAATGTTAAGTCATTCACTAAAGATTCTTTCAGTATCAGCAGTTGTAAATAGGGTGATAATGAGATTGTAACTATATTTTGTTTCAGATTCCCTGCAGTCAGTGTGGGCTTAACACCAAAAGGTTTTTCACAACCTTGCAGCAGCTTTTTCATTAATGGCTTATAGCTCATAAACGACTTATTAACTATTATTAAAGTCATTCATTACAACTGGCTGCCTTATTTGACAGCGGTACCACTTTGTTCTAAGATTAAAATGGGTGTGTGTGTGTGTGTGTGTGTGTGTGTGTGTGTGTCCCAGCGCCAGATGCCCCGTACACCCACTGGAAGCAGACGGTGTTCTACCTGGAGGACTACTTGACGGTACGGAGAGGAGAGGAGATCACCGGCAGCATTGCTATGAAGCCCAATGAGAAAAACACTGTGAGTATTGCACTGTTTAATGTATACCGCCTTGAAGTGATGTATTACATGTGAAGCTATGTTAAGTGGTGATATATTATCTCTATATCTATAAAATATATCATAGAAAATATAGCACACAGATATAACAGGCCTATAAACTGTGTTTCTCTTATCTTTATATCCTCACTGAGGAATGACTCATTTCCTACGCCGGCTGCCCGCAGCAGATTGTTTTCTCCTCAGTGTTGGATAGCGGTCAAGCAGGCAGCCGCACTGCAGTGACTTCCATACAAACAACAACAGATTCTATTGTTGACCTTGTCAGTGTCCTCTCCTCCCCCTCTGGGACAGAGAAGCCGGGCTGGCTTCATCCTGTTGTCTAACACAAATAGTCTGTGCTTATTTAACACCGTGTTCTGCTGTCGGGTCAAATTGAAAAATCTGATCCTAGTACATTATTTTCTCAGTTTGTATAAAGTATTTGCTTAATCATTACCTCTCCTCTCTTTGACAAACCATCTGACTTTTCTCACTCTCTGGCCCTGCAGCGAGACTTGGACTTTACCTTCGAGCTGGATTTCAAAGGACAGCTGTGTGAAGCGGCCATAGCCCACGACTACAAGATGCGCTAATTTGGACTGGGGGACTTTGGTGCCCCATTGAGTACAACCCCCTGAGCACCAGAGGGAGACAGAGACACTCCCATGACCCCAGACGATGTATGAGGGGCGTAAGAGAAAAGACCAGGCCAAAGACCAAGCAGAAGTGGCCCCACTGACAATATCACAAGCTTGTCACTACAGTATATGATGAAGGCAGGAAGTTACTGATGCTGACTGTTAAACCATTCTGAATGTAACACTGACAGAAACAGGCCAGGAATACGTTCTAGTCTTGATGGGTGTTATTGATTATTGATGTGTGTGTATATGTGAGATGGAGTGATGTACCCGTGTGTTTTGTTGTTTTCCACACTAACCTGGACCTTATGGAGGGATAGTTGAAGTTTTTAAATTACAGTAGAGCTCATCTAATTACTGTACTGTCCATATTCTGCTATAGGTAGCCAATCAATTTAAGGTGTAATTCTTATGTCATATAATGTACTGTAGGGAATGATGATCAGAGAAACACTTTCATTTATAGCTGTATCAATTTAGCAATGTTGGAATACTAACAGCCAAGGACAAATCTGCGTATGTGCATAAATGTGAAATGTGAAAGGTAACACGTGTTTGCATAGTCAGTGTACTAGTAGCTTCTTGTGAGTGTGTAATAGAAGGTGTCACAGCTCACACTGTTGCACAGCATGGACTCCAGATGTGTTGTCAGTCTGAGCTGGGATGTTGACATGCCAATAACATACCTTCCCCATCCTCAATGCCTTGACCAAGTGCCCGAAGCGTACCTAGTTGTTTTCCGCTTTTTTTCTATAGTTTCATATATATAGATGCTAGCCACCTCTTTTGTTTAGGTTAGCTTTTAGTTATATCACAGGGTCAAGCCATGAAGCTTCTTTCAGTCTACATCTGGACATGATTTACAGCAAGCAGTTTAACCCCACATATCTTAGTAAATCCTAGCAACTAGCTCCAATCTGATTTTTTTCTATAGGAGTTGCTGAAATAATGATAATGCTTGATGACCTGCAGTATCCCGGCACTAATATCTTGGTTTGAACCTTATGACATTGACTATTCTGCTTCTTGTAACATGCATACAGGTTTCTTGTATACTATCACACGTGTGATACTGGAGTTTACAGAATGTATCTCAGTCTAAAACGTACTGCATTGCACTCAGTGACAGTAGGACACACTGCAGCGTATTGAAGCTGATGAAAATGATCTTTCCACTTCACTTGTGCTCTTACTAATGTCATTGCCAAGATTCCCCGCTAAAGGGTTGTCTTCCCTCAAGATGTGGATCTAGGCAAAGATTACCTTAAAACTATTTAAAACCTCATATTAGCGTTTCTACTATTAGCCTCAATAAAAGACAACAAAACATTTTCTGTGCTTTGAAGCCATTTGCTAAAACATTCTCTTTCCCAGATTGTAATTGTATTATCTTATCCAGAGACAAGAACCAGCCTCAACTCCCCTGTCTTACATATCGTGCAGAGGCCCCAGTGAATCATTTCAATGCTGTAACCAAAATGTACAGTATGAGCACTGGGGAATAATGGAGGAAGCTAGATAAGTTATAAAGCATGCAACTAATGCTAGTAACAATCAACAAGTTCAGTATCCAACCGAGTGCTGCCTTCTCAGAGCACACCGTGTCTGAGATCCTGTGTGTTTTACAGGGCGCTGCATGGTACAAATAAGCAATACAAGGTTATGAGTCATTAATGCTTACTTATCATGCTCATACATGATAAGTGATCTTATTTAATTAGAATAATACTTGTACTGAAAGAGCATCTTTGGAATCTGTCCAGTCACCCATATACTCTGATGAAATTTGGCTGCTCAAATTAAACAACAAACCTAGTTAGCCATATAGTTTATAAGTCATTCAAATTCAAATAAATTGGCATGTTCCACATGTATTACTATCTTTGAAAGAAAAATGTAATGTGTTGTTTTACATATTGTCATGTCAACTTCAAAACGGAATAAACAGCAATGTCCAATCCCATCCACTGAGTGACGCTGTTTAACTTATTTTAGTGTCATTGTACCAGGAAGAAATGACTTAGTCGGTCCTTTACAAATGATATTACCATTAACAATTCTTTATTTATCTCTTTCATGCTATTTACATGTTTATATACACATTAAAGTGGTGTGCAAGATACTGGCAGTAGTGAAGCACTATTGACTATAGTGCAATATCAAACAGTAAAATCTGAACTTTTTACCAAAATGTCAACTTTTAACCGTCCTGTAACACGGTTACATGACATGTTATTGTGACACCATTTTCATAAAATACTTGGCACAGTGGCAGTTTAAGGAGATATAAAATAAATATTTTCTTCACTAAACTTCATTTGGTCTATTGGGGAAAAATAATGATTTGTACTATTTTCCAGCTCTTGAAAAAGAAAACACAGTTCAACCTCCACACTGTTACAACAAAAACAACACAGAATAACAAATCAATAATATAATGTACAGAGGACAAAACAGCATAAACGTGTAAAATACAATACTTTTAAATATGATATCCTTGCAACAAATACTACATTTGAAGCAATTGATGTTCAGTTTCTCTTGATTTAACTACGCAATCATTTTGGTTTATTCAGTAGATAAAGCACAGAAGCACATTTCTTCAGTCCTGAGCTGTTTTTACTTTGTCCACCAGGTGAAGAAAACCAAGACACCGTGCAATATCCTGCACTGCCACATAACACCAAAACAAAGCCTGCCCCTAATAGTTAAACACCCCCTGACAGTCTCAACAAAAACACCAAAAGCTTCATTAAGGTAGCCTTTACTGCAAGGCTGTTTGATACTGTATTCTATTTTACAGCACCTTATGTTATTTCTCCATGTCATAAGTTGAAGTTTTGAACAGCTAAAAACAAAATCACACACAACACTGAATTAATATATTAATACATACAGTAAAAAGCCCGCATGTGACGGATAAAGGGCCTTTGGAAGCTTAATAAATATCTGAGTTACAGCCTGACTTTGGAGGAATATCCACGTTTAAAAAATGTCTTAGTTTGAGTCAAAGGGACTTTGACTTAAATTTGTTCAGTTGTATATACACCGCTACGTAAATAAGTGTGAATAATAACTTTTCTTATTGTTATAATTATGTTACTACATTTTCATAAAAATTTGAGGTCATTTTCAAACTGCAAATAACTTGGCTGAAACACAGGGTAGACTGTTAATAATAGTGCAATAACATCCGTGACACATGACATATATACGGCCTTCATTTTGGTGGTGGCTTTACCCAAAGTGCTACGAAGTGGAAGGAAGACTGTGTGAGAGAATAACGTGTCCTCTGTGGCACATGTGGTCACACTATCACATTGTGTTTGTTAGTAAAGGGTAGTGCTATTTATGTGTTCAGTGTTTAGCTGTTAGCAGCAGGATCTCTTCTTATCTGAGGGGCTGCTGACCAGCTGGACCGTCTTCTCCTTGTCTATGTCCTCTTGCTCTTTCAGAATTCTGAGGGACATAATGAGGCATCAACAAATGAATGAGTTGTGGCAGTTTTTAACTCCAATTCGCTCTGAAAACGTACATGTGCTTTGCTGCTACTGCATCCAACCTGCACATGCTTCAGTTGTGCTCTGTGTGTACCAGGTCTGTATGGACCCTTTGGGGTATCTATGTCACACTGGGGGATTAGTTGTAACACTGGCTGTTGGTTTTTTCATGCTGCTGTGCATTAAATGCTGTATTGTCACAGCATGAAGCATCCCCAAGAGTAGAGTCAAACTGCAATGCTATCTGTATTTGCAACAGTAACCTACGGATATGCCACACAGAAATGTCTGTGATGGCAGATTACTGATAGCTCCAGCAGTAATATATATGAAATAAGGCACTGGAGCAGCTTTCTATGTAAAATAAAGACAAACATTGTTGCACATTTAACTGTACATCTCGAATTGAAGAAAATCCATTGATATTCTCACACAGAGGAGACAAAATATGGTTTACACAAAGACATTACAATTTGATTATGCACTGTGCATTGTTTTCACTTAAGCTTGTTGTCGTGTTCTCTGGAACCAGCTGATTAGTCCTTTGTGCTTCCAACAGAGAACAAATGAAACATTTGGCTGGTGATGTGCCTTGTTTCAGTACAGAAATAATCCCACTTTGAAAGCTGTTCAAGCAGACAATTGCTCCATATTTAGTCACAACACAATTATTGTTTCTTTGTTTTCCTGTTGCATAAACTCAAACACAAAGGCCATTATTTTGCTCACCTGGCTAAATGAACCATGGACTCCACCACATTGTGTCCAGAGCATGCGCTGCACTCATAAAAAGTCATTTGGCAGTCCTGAAAGAGACACAAATGATGATGATGATGATGATAATGATGATGGCTGATTGAAACAAGATGTGTCTGAACATGTTTCAACTTTCTGCACATTGATCATTGTGGGCTTATCAAGGAAAGTACATTTTGTACTAATAGTTGCAAAAGCACAAATTAAAAAGAAATCTAATCTACCAATATTCGCTCACATGGTCACCATAGAAACTACAGTACACACCAGACAAATAGAGGAATAAAAAATTAAGGAAAGAAAAAGAAAAAGAAAAAAAAAAACAACCTCAAATCATACATTACATTCTCTCTGTTCTATGACTGCGTTCCTAATATATTTACACAAAAATAGCCCCACTTTGTTGCTGTGGTCTGACACCGACTTGTCAGCTAAGAACCTTGAGCTTAGTGGGCAAAATGGAACAGACCTTGGATAGTCTTTCGCCCACTCCTTTCTGAACTTGTCTCTCAATCTCCTTGTCCGTTTTGTTTCCCAAGAGCATGATGGGAATGTCCTCGCCTGCACTCTCCTGTGAAAGAAAGAACATCAAAGAATACAGACTCAGAGAAACTGATCTTAAGAAAAGTCCTTTGCGGTTAAAGGACTAAGCCACCAGCTCTGTTGCTAGTGGCTGTAAACCAGACAGTAACGTATAGGTGCATCGCTGTAAACTAATTTAGCACCTGACCTATATTTGTCCCACATTTTCTACACTATAATACTGTGAACTCTGTGTTTCTGTGCAGCTGTTGCTCTATTTTGACTCCCTACAGCATATTGAAAAGCAGCTTTCTAGGAGACAAAGTAAAACAAACCATTTGTGTGGTATTTCTGTGAGTATGGTATGCAGTGTGACTGTTAACCGTCTCACCTTTACACTTGTCAGCCACTGTCTGACAGCCGTGAAGCTCTGCTCTGCTGTAATGTCATACATCACAACCACACCATCAGCCTTGCGAAAGAACTGTTTGGTGATGCTTCGATACCTGCAAGAGGAGGTGGAGGAGGAAGTAAACAAAAAGAGGAAGAGTTGTGTTTTTATTGGTACTTCAAAAAATCTCTGAAACCTTCCCCTTGGCTTTACTGTCTTTTGCACAACCTACAAATTACAGGAATAATGTTTTAGTTATAAAGTTAGTTATATGAGAACTGAGCTGAAGTAAATTTTTTTTCTTAACCAAAAAAAAACCTTTTAACTTTAACAAGAAACAAGGAAACGATTTGGAACTTCAAGAACTTAAATACACTCTTTTGAAATACAGTAGTGGCACACAGTCACCTTGTCAAAGTGCCATAAGCTGACACAAGTATCGTAGTGTTACAGTGGATTACAGACTCTGTTCAAATGTGATAATCTCTTTCCCTTCACCTCATGTATTGATGCCTCACCTCTCCTGTCCTGCTGTATCCCACATTTGCAGCGCCACCTGGCTGTTGTCCACAGTTATTGTCTTTACACTGTAATCAATACCTGCACATATAGAGAGGAAAATGTCAGCGCATTCCGTTTTATTACTGTTTAATGTACTGTTACAACACCACAGAACACATTACTGTATAAACATGAAAATACACAATATGCAAATCTATATAATGACCTAAATACATGTGAATGTGTGACACATTTTAAACATTATAATGTGGGAAACTCAAACTGGATTTTCTTTACTTTCTTTTAATTGATAAATGCAACACCTACTGTGCTACTTCCAAACTTGAAAATAGTCTTGTAGAACTTTTCTTATCACTGTGCTGCACAGCAAAATGAGATCCTACAAAAGTTGTGAGCCACAAAAAATGAAGTTTGAAGATTTATAGTATACACAAGCTGAACCGTATAAGCTCTGAACAAAATATTTTACTATGATGAAGTTTGCAGGACCAAATTGTGATGCTTTTGTGTTTCAATGAATTTTTCACATTGGCCTTGAGAGAATGTCTTGCCTCTTTTATTAGATTTTAGATAGGCGACAATAAATTTAAAGTCAGCTGGTTACTGTCCCCATGACCCTGCATTGTACAGTATATTATATAGTATACACAGAAAATATATATATATATATAACAGTTTTATGCTAATGCTTATGCTGTTAAGCGATTATGTAGCATATATTATTGTGAATCATATTGTACAGTACAGTAAGGAGATCACAACATACAATATATACAAGCTGATCAGAATGTTTAGTACTAAATGGTGAATGGTATTTATAAAGCACTTTTCTGGTCTACCGACCACTCACAGCGTTATTTCACATTTACCAGAGAGGCTGTCATGCAAGGTGACACAGATGGTATTAAGCTCACTATTGATAAGCCACAGCAAAAGTCTATACACAGTCTTATCCTCTCTCCTTTCACTGCTGACGCTGCTGTACTCAGTGTAACTGAAAAAGATTTTTTTTCTCCAGTGTTAAAACCAACTGCTACATTCGAGTGCTTTGTAAGCAAACACTTACAGAGCCTGAGGTCAACCACAAGGCTGGGTGGGTTGTTGCTTTTTTGTTTTTACAGGAAGTGACAAGTATGTACGTACCCACAGTGGCAGAAGTGCCAGGGTGGAAGCAGTCGTCACAAAATCGTCGAAGGAGGGAGGTCTTTCCTACACTCGAGTTCCCCACCAGGACAATCTTGAAGAGGCGATCAGGGGGCGAGGGACCACCTTCCTCCTGAAGGAACAAGGATTATGGTAGCAGGGATTAAAGGAAGAGTATGGAACCTCACTTAACTACAATATAGTTAAGTGGCTGACTTCTGGCTGTTCATAAGCACGTGATTCAAAGTTGGAGCAGGAGAGAGAGAGAGAGACCTAAAGAGTGAATGGAGAGAGGGAGCATCGTTGCCATTTGAACTAGTGAATTTGTTATTTCCTGATTGTTTCATGGCAGGTACGTTCTAAAGCACAAACAAACATGGCCACACCTCCACAACACCCTGTGAGAAGTCGCCGGATTTTGTATGAACGAATGCCGCCAAAGCCACGCTTCATCCTGCCTGCTGTGCTGCATGTGTGTGTGGCTCTCTGGACACGCAGCTCAGACAGCAGTGTAGACCGACCAAAATTGTCACACCCTTGAGCCCTGTGAAGTCCTGTCAGTGAGAAATCTAACACGTTTCCTCCCTATATCTCCTGCTTGGCTTGTAAAAGAGGAGCTTTTTGCAATAAATAAATTATAAATGTTTAGTTTATGTCAGGCATTCTTTATATATGTCACTTTACATATATCACTTGATGTCCACATGCTTACATTTATGCTGGTCTCCTTGCCAACAGGCTGACCCCTCGGAGATGTGGGGGTTTCCCTTTTTTCCACAGTTCCCTTTGACTCTTGCTGCTGGGCAGAGGATGCATGCGGGTAAATATCACTCATCACCAACTCTATATTCTCCTCGTTGTCTGAGCCTTCCTCTCCTTCACTACACTCCCGAAGTGGAGCTTGTGCTTGACAGTCATTCTGGAGCAAGTGTGGGAGGTGGTCTTCCTCGATGGAGATGATTCTCCGGAGGTGCCCTCTTGTCCCTGCTGTGCAAGACCCGTTGGCAAGGCTCTGCCTCACATAGCTAGTGGTGGTCGGCTCCTCTTCATCCTCACTGCAGACAGAAAGTAACGTTATAGCCTACTACAGTGCTGATGAAAACAATGCAGATCCAACCCACTTGTGGACAAAAGAAGAACATATAGTGTACAGACTGTGGCTTGTCTTTCTCCTAAGTCTTGACAAAGAGTGGTGACATTTTTATTTAATGTATCACTTGAGGATGTTTTACCTTTTGAAGATATTTGTGTTTGTGTGTTTCACAACATTGATTAAAGGCCTCTGCTTCAAACCTGGTGTTTTCTTTGGGTTCTGCAGAAATAAAACATGATGTTTTTATTCACATCGCAGCATGAGATCCAGAGTTCAATCAGAATTTAGGGGGTTGCTATTCTTGGCTGTGAAGATCACTTACATCTTTTCTCTATTCCTGTAATTTTTTAAAAAAAGGACATACCTGATAACACATGTCCTTTTCATCCCGTAAATGTTTGTTCATTTCCCTGGATACAACAAAGAAACGAAAATATTAAAAACAGAGAGAACCTCTTTTCATCATATTGAACTTTTCAACATTGTGCAACCGGCCAAAGTCAGTATTAGCCAGGAGGTCCTAGTGTTGGAAGGCTGGAGAACACGTGACTCCCAGGTAGAAATCATTACAGCTAATTGACTGATAAGCTGAACATTTCTGAAAAGGAGCTTAAAGGCTGAACAAGTCTTCCATCTAAATATGTTTTGCTTTGCACTGTGATCACTCCACTAGAAAGATGTGAATTACTGAGATGTTACTGTAAATTAGTTTTGGCAGAGCAAGGCTGTTTTGTTATTTGTGACAAACCTACGCTAAAACAATGAGCGGCAGTGGTACATTTTATTTTCACTTGAGTGAAACAACAACAAGAAAAATAGAGAAAAAAAACTATAAATTTGTACACTTTTTTTTTTTTACACTAGCAGTACTGACTCTGCTCAGTGATATAAAATCAAAAGATAAATATCCATGTCACATTTCTGTATTGTAGTTATTCTTTCTCATGTGGAGCCAGTACAGCTGTACCTCTAGATCCATACCTCAAAAGGTCCAGCTGTTTGAGGAGGCTTGCTCGCTCTCGATGCAGTCCCTCAGTCAGTCGGTATATTTCCCTGTGTTAAACAACAGTGCTTGCTTTATTACAAATTACTCTGTGACCAAACAGACACACAATGTGCTGTGGTAACACTTTATTAAAAACTATAGAACAGATACATTGTATTTTCTTGTTTACTCTCTTTGAAACATAAAACTCAGAATAGAATGCAGTTGAACATATATAAGAGAACAGTGGAATCAGCTTAAGGTACAATATACACAAAAATAACTGTGGGTTACAGCAGCTCTTCTGTGTCCGTCAACATTACCATGTAAATGATCCCAATAGTTTTACAGCTTAATGACAGGGACATCAAAATTTGTGGGAGTCAATTGGCCTAATTATTACATAAATTGTGTATACAGTATCCGCTGCCTCCATTTGTTTGCAGCAAAAACATGCAATCTTATCCTGACCAATGAGCCATAAAAAATAAAAAATGAGAGGCCAAATAATCAGGGCTGGAGTTATAAAGAAGCCTAAGTAAGTAAGAGTAGCTACAACTCACATCTCCTTCTCCTCATGAAGCCGTGTGGACTGCTCCTGCAGCACACTCAGCTGCTCCTGTGCCAAGATCAGCTCCTGGCTGGTGTGCTCCAGCTCCCGAGCTAACTCGTCATTCGTCTGCTTCAGCTTCACGTTCTCCACCTTGGTCTCGTGTTGTTCATTGTGAAGGTCCTTGCACTGACGGTCCAACTGGAGACAGACCCGTAGATAATAATAAAAAAAGAATTGAATTGAACAGAGATCTTTTTGGTTTGGATGAAATGTGTGTCACGGTGCTTCACACAGAGCCCATTTATTGAGGTAGTACTGACCTTTAAGTTAGTAGTATTGGATTAATAATCAGCCAGCCAATGCTATTTACATGTAGTATGTTGAAAGTCCCTCTCTGATCACATCAACATAAATACAAGCTGTAACACTCGACTAACTAATATATTCATTTAAAGTCTCTGTGTGTAGGAAGATAAAAAATGTCTGACTCTGGTGACGCCTAGTGGTACACATTCACACAACCTTTTCCAGCAATTGTGCTCTCAGCTCTAGAAATGCATGTGGATAAACAATACCTGCAAACAGCTGACTGAATTATTTTCTAACAAACAGCTATAGTAGCGAGCACAGCCATACTAAATGTTCTTAATTTAAAGCTGTGCCAGACTGTATACAACAATATGGACTGTATGAAGATTATACTCCACAGACAGGAAACCTGGTAAACAGCTGACATATTAATTAGAAGTGCTAAGGAGCTGTGAAGGGAAGAAAAGTCCTTGTTGGCGTGACCAGAATTAATTTCAGTTCACTAATTAGCCTTGAAAGCCCAAGTGCAAGTCTGTAAATGGGGGTGTGACAGAACCTATTAACATCTAATGGCATTTATCAACACAAGCTGCTGTTGTTTGTGTGGAACTGTGCTGATTAGATTGAATTCGATAAAACAAACAAATCAACAACTCAATATAACTCAGTGTTAAAGTAAGGTTAATGTTGCTATGCAAATCTCCTCTTTCAAGATAGATGAACTGTGGGACTGAGTATGTTTTCACATACCTCTCTGTTTTTTACAACATTCTGTTATCGGACATGTTGTTTAATGTGTCAGATGTGTTGCTGCTCTGACAGCTGAATTTATCAGTGGGATAAGTGAAGTGAGGGTGTGAGTGCCTTTCTCATAGACTCTGAATGGTGCAGTGCATTCTGGGGGAAAATCTTGTTGCTACCTCTTACTCACCCTTCTCTGTTTCTGAAAGAGCTGTTCCAGCTCCTTCTCCTTACTGGACAGCTGCAGCTCCATGTCTTGACTGCGAGATAGAAACCGCTCATAGTCCTTTAGTGCAGGGATGAAAGAGGGAGGCGATGAGGGAGAAGATGTACGTTGTTTGATAGAATCAGCAACATAGAGAAAAACGTGTTTGACATCAATAATATGTTTGTACCTGCAGCACAATCCTGTCTTTTTCACTTTTTATTTGCTGCTCCATTTCTTCATAAAGACGCTGGATCTCATCATCGTGTGTTGCTGCTTTCCTGTGTGAACAAAGTTCAGATGTGATCATGTGCTATGCAAAGTATGTACACACCATGTATATGAAATAACTGCCTAGATCAATACACTTTAACTCATATAAAGTATAGCATAGCTGATATTCCTTAAGAAACAATAGGTCTCTGAACGTCATCAATTAAGAGCAGAGCAGTGCATTCAAAGCAGAACAGAGACTGAATAGAGACAGCTTCTTTAAATGATGAGCACACACTAATTAGGGAGCCACTTCACAGCTCAGCCAAATGCTCCTTAGTGGAGACCTCAAAATGTAGTAAACCCTTAATAGCCCCTGAACCTTCTACGACAAAGACCTTTTGAGAGCGCTCTCCATCTCCCTCTTCTCCTGGTTGGCCTCTCTGATCTGGGATGTCACTCTGGCCAGGAAGTCCTCAAAATTGGATAAAAGGTGTGGCTCATCACGTCGCAACTGGGCCCACAGACTGCGCACCTCAGCAGGACTGATGGGACAGAATGGAGAAGCAGGTGTAAGCAAGTGCAGCATCAAAGTCAGTGTCTTTAACGACATGGTCTTCATCCTGAAGAAATTCACTAGTCTTTTTAAAAGGTCTTGAAAAATGCACTTATTATTAGAGCGAAGAAAAACACACATTTGACATAACTTCTTGTACGAACACTTTTGTGTGTTCCAAGGTCTGCTACTACAAGGCAGCTAAATCAAAACACTGAATACAAACAATTTTTTCAGTATTGAAATTTGAATTAAAATCAGTTGTGAGAGAACCAAAACTGTATGATGATGGAAAAATGTTCCCAGAAGAAACAATGTAAAGTGCCTTCCATGATAAGGTAGTCAAACAAATCCCTGTAAAACTTTTCACGAGTTACAAATACATATCCTTAAACTCCAGCCAACATCAATATCAGTTAGTGCCGCACAAACTGATCTGATCTAAAATGTCAAGATATCCACGTAGGCGGAAGCCAATAGGACGTGTAAATGTGGCATCCACCTCCACTACTGTTTAATTTTATTGAGTTGGAGTTGTTTGTTAAAGGTGGGTCTAGTCATGCATTTATCCTGTCATTAGATATCTCACGGGCTAACAAAGCAATGTGTAAACAGACATCAACTAGAGTTACTAATGACCAGTGAATATTGTATTTGTAGAATTGCCACTGTGCTCTGACCGACTGCTGCGTTGTTCTAGATACATGCATCCATATAAAGAAAAGGTTGTGGTACTTATGACTGTGTCATTCAATCAGTGTACTTAAAACATCTGTCTGGCATTACACAGCCCATTTTCAGCCATCTGCACACTGCATTTCTATGTTTAAAACACAATCCTATTGAATAGCTAAGCAGTCACACTATAGCACTGAGAGGACTGCTCAGAGGGGGAGCACAGGCTTTGCTTGAAAGTGGAAACTTCCAACTCTCGTTTAGTTTGCACAGCTGATTATAGTCTCAGGCCAAGTTACTGAGAATATAGTGTAGACTTAAAGGAGGGGTTGGGTGCAATGATATGAAGCATACCTAACAACACATGCTGTAATCACAAGCACACGCACAAACACATATGCGCACGCAAGTACTCACTCTTCAAAGACACTTTTGGCGCCCAGGCTCTCCATAAGCATGCAAAAGTGTTTCTCCTCTTCATCCTCATCTCTTTTTGTCAGGCTCTCCTCCCACTGGGTTTGGTACAGGACCTCTGTTGGGCTTTTACAGGAGTTTTTCTCCCCCATGTCTTCCTCTACAGAAATCTCCGGGCCAAATAAAAACTTACCTAGAAAAAACAAGAGCTTAAGTGCACAACTGAGACATCAGAGCAAACCTACTGGTGATGGTAGTAGCAATGTTTTGAGTAGAAACAGACTGCAAACGTACTGAAGCCGGAGGAGAACTCTTCTAGGGTAAGGTATCCATTGCCATCGGAATCAAGGGTATCAAATACGTTCTCCAACTCCTCCGCACTGAGAGGGAGCCCGCCATTCAGCCTCTATTTAACAAGACACAAAACACAGCTGCAATTGCAAAGAACAAAGCCTCAAGGACATTAGCTGTACTGTAGCTAGTGCAACTGCTACTTTAGACTTAAAAGGACAGTCATTTGTGCAGTGGTTACCATGTGCAATGGAACAATTAACGTTTCTTTCTGAGATATTTTTACCAGTCAAAAATAGACCAAAGTATCCCTAATGTGAGCTTCTTGTTTAATGGACATGCATTATCTTCACACTCACACAGTTAAACACATTAACATTTCCAGAGCAGCTGTATACTTCAATGTTTGACCACTGGGCAGCTCCACTGGAACAGATGTTGGCTCAAGCAAGATTGTCAAGAGCCCTTTAACAGAATATTTCAAGTAGACTGAAATGTTATTTGAGAAGAAGAAGAGTGGGACATGACAGAGTGAGAACCTGAAAAAAAAAAACCTCTAACCAGGACAGTAACTGCTGGACCATTTACAAAAAAGCCAACACAGCCACGCCTCTGAAACCAGCTTGGTTTTTATGCTGTGTTTACACTGCTGCTAATGTTGACCGAGGCCACCCATACAATCCAGGGGAGGGCGAGGGAAAGCATATGTGTAAGATTGTCAGCTGTTCTTGTAAAGTGTGTTATCTGGACAGAACATATCCCATATGTCAGCAAACAGTAGAATTGTAAAGCTAAGCGTGTAGGTGGTCATGGTGTCACTGAATGTACTTTTAAGCTGTGAAAACTCAAGAGTGCACATAAATGTAAGCAGTACTTCTCATTTAGCTTGTTAGATTAGCTACAACCGACGACAGATGTATGGAAAGTCTAAAATAAATACATCTACCAGTACCAAGTGCTGCTTTTAACCACAGATTCTGTCTTCAGCACAGATGGTCATATAAATGGAAGTGTGAAGGACCGGACCGTTGTACAGCTCACCATCTAATTTCCAATCCATTATCATAAACACCGGATCAAAGCTTCCACTCTATGTATTTATGCTCCTCAGGGCGAGAGCCCTACAAGTGCTTCATCAAAGGATTAGCCATGGCAGGGGTGAATATCTGAGGGGCAAGTGAATCTGCACAATAATGTGAGTGGAGGAGTTGCATGACAAAGCTTCTGCACGGCTCTCTGTGTCTCAGTCTCTTTTATGCCGCTTTGAATAAGGTGCACACGTCCTATCTGTGTCCTATTCAGCATCGTTAATGAGACCATAGACCGTCCTTGAATTTTAGGCTAATTTTGGATGAATGAAGAGTTGTTATCTCTAAAAATGATGAAAATGTGATGCCCTGTAGACTGTGAATGATTAAATTTGGCCCAAATAGCACTAATATTTTGTCAATTAGGTGTACCTACAAGTAGTTAGTAGGAATACATTTTCTATTTTAAGATTAAATTAAATTAATTATTTTACTTGTATGGCTTTCATGCAACAAAGTAGTGGTGGGCAGTATGATCAAAAATGTGTATTGTATCTGTATCAGATTTACTGTATATCACTGTATTTATTTTGTTTTGCTTGGCAGAGCCTTTATATGGGTTTGTAATGGCTGATTCCACTGTCAGGACTACTGACGTACATACCAAAGGCTTTGATTACTGTAGGGTTTCCTTGGCCCCACATAATCCAAAAGTATGAAACAGTTGCAGAATGCAAAACATTTTTATCGTTCCAACTGCAGTAAAAACTGAACTTGAGAATAAAAAAGATGTGCTAACAATGTCAACATTCCTTCCTTTTCACAACAAAATATTTTAAAATACTTGCATGAACACTATAAACTGACATAAAATACTCAAAGTATTCAAAGAGTTATTTTTAAAACGTTCTATTGCACAAGAAACAAATGAGTTACAGCAGTTGTTTCAGCTATGGCAATATATGAAAAATTCACATCATATGGGAAATTAAAAGCGGTGTATCATTTCATCTGGTCCACCGCCCAGCACCACAACAAGAGTTAGTCTTCATACTACTTTAAAAGCTCAGTCAGTGCAGTCACCCTTGTATCAGCAACCTCACCTGCATATCACGTCGGCTGATGAAGCCCTTGTTCTCGATGTCACACATCTGGAAGAACTCGTGGGTTTTCTCCAGGATGGTGTTTTGTCCCACGTCCCCATTCTCACGTTTACCCGCCTCTTCGGTGCTCCCTTGCCTTTGCCATGTGGTTTGGGCCACCATGGTGGTCGTGGTATTAGTGGTGTCACAAGGAGTGGTAAAAGCTGCCATGGTATACGTGAATCTGTGGATATGAGAGCGTTTCCCGCGTCCTTCACATGAGCCAGGTACAGACAGAGGTGTGGAGAGAGAGGATCCTGGAGAAGTCGAGCTTCAGGCTGCTCTACATCAGAGGCTCTCACCAATGTCAGCGATTGTCATCTCTTAGCAACCACCTCTTTAATAAGTCGATGAAACCTAGGAGAGAGACAGGAGGAGAGTCTTCGGTTTAAATAAGTACAGCCCATTGCCCGATGAAAATAGTTACAAATATCATACTAAATTTATGTACTGCATCAAAAACATGTTCTAAAGTCTATAAAAGGGAGGGCTTGTTTGAACCTAATAAATCAAAAAGACTTGAATAAAGAATATATCATTGTTGTCTGCAGCACATTGATAACGCAATAACACATTTGATTAACAAATTACATTTAATTCATTTTTTATGTATGTAAACTTGTCCAGAAATGTTCTCTCTCTTTCTTTCTGCTATTCTCTCACACGCATTATCAGTCTGATTTAAATATAGTTGCGCAAAGTTAAACATGGCCTACTGTGTGCCGTACACCTAAAACAGTGGCTGCTCCTCTTTTTTTTACTTCAGGGACAATGGCCCTGTCTAAGACTAATGTCATCTGACAAGTAAACCCAGAACTGAAAAGAAAGTTGTGGTATGACGGGGAGGGGTCTTGTCTGCCTGGAAATATCGACTGATGTAACTCGCTGAGCGGTGGGTTTCATGCAGACTGCAGTTCTATGTGCATTGGTTTGGAAGACTGCCCTGCACAGGCTGTTATGAGTTGGCTCATGTGATTCGTGAACAAGAGCATCAGACGGCGTGTGTGTTGACCCACGCAAATGTAGATATATGTGGGACTGGTATAAGACAAACAGACAGGAAAAAAATAGACATGCATGTAGGCAGGTAGAGGGACAGTACAGGGTACAGGGTGTAATACACAGGGCACTACACACACACACACACACACACACACCAGGGCCCTCTAACTCCAGTACTGGTACAATGATAATCTATATTTTTAGTTCATAAAGTTAACTAAAGCCTTTTTCATTAATAAAATGTACCTAAAGTTGATTTACGGTCATGAAATGGGTAAAGAAACGACTTATTAATTTAGTTTTCAGAGATGTATGTGAAAATAAGTGTTTAATTTCTACACAGTGGCTTGACCTTTATAAAATATCTTTGAGCCTTAACATTGCGAAACATATTGCAAGCATGACAAACCTCACGAGGAAAGTCACCAACCAACAGTGAGCAGCAGACAGAGCTGAAGCATGAGAGAGGAAATAAGAAAAGGAACTAAGGTGAATTGCTGTTTGGAAAGAATGATGTAGTGTTTTTTTTTCGTGAGGCACAAGATCATAGATAATATTGTCTTGTCTTTACAGACTATCTTGTTGGCCAAAAAACATAGGAAAGTTTATGGTTCCTTTGTCAAACCTTGGTAAGTGTGTTGAGACAGGTGACCTACAGTAGAAGGATATCAGACAAGAAAAACACTCAGACGGAAAAGACATTTTGTCCAATGACTGCGTCTGACACATGATTTAACACTAAATGTTCTTGGTCTAACTTCACTAAAATGCAATCAATTATAAGTTCATGGAATAAAATGATATTTGTACTGAAAAATAAACAATTTGTCATTTTCCTAAGATCTGACTTTTAAATGCTGGAGCTTACCGCTTTGCATACAGTTACCTTATCTGTTTTTAGGGTTTGACACGTAACAGCTGTTAGAGCTACGGCACTTACTACAAGCCAACCAAAATAAATTCAACCTGAATCCAAAAGCAAAGCCACACAAATGAACTAAAAAGCATACAAAGCAATGGAACAGCCCATCTGTTTTTGATCAGGCTAACAGATGAGAATGCACATACAGTCCTAAATAGTCACTACATACAACAGGATAAGTGCAAATGAGATGTGTTCAATAGACATGAGTATCTCTTGTCTAGCTGCATACAAAGGTCACACAGTGCTCATAAGCTGCATTTTAAGTAGACACTGACGCTGTGGTCAGGACTACAGAGATTAATTTAGTTTGCGGTCTATGGTCGTGACCGCAACAGGTTTCTGTAAAAGAAGCTTCTTTTGTTTCTTTTTGAGAACTTAAAAAAAAACTTTACTCTTCGCTGCGTCACTACCAACAACAAAAATTAAACAAGCTACAATCAACTATGTCAACTCTTCTATGACATTATGTAGCCTGGCACAGGACTATAAGAGGCACTGCAGTTAAATATAAAGTTCATTTATCATGTCCCTGACTAATATGACTGAAACTAATGAGCAAAATGTAGCTGTAATAACTCACGAGGCCGTATTGCGTGATTCATTTCCAAGAATATTGACATTGTGCTTAGATGCGCCCAGTTAAAATGATGATGATAAAGCTGTTGACAAAGAGAAACATGGGGAGGTTTTACAGCATTCTGCTTTTTTTCCTAATCCCTGAAAGTGAAATATAATAATAAAAACTACCAAGTAAAAGAGGGAGCTGCTTAGGCACAAGTGTCTTGAATTAACTTTTAATGAAAAAGCCCTGTTTTGTGTTCCTGCTGTTGCACTTTTTAAATGAAGTTCTTCTGCACTGGTTATCCTCAAATCACTCATGGGCTGCGATAACAGTTTAAGAAGTAAGAAACAGCCAATGCATTGCATCAAATCTGGTGAGAGGTGGTGTTTAAAAGGGTATTTAGGATTACCCAAAATAGTATTGCTGTCTGAAGCGCTGAAACTATTTTAAGTCACTAAATTAAAATTTCCTTCACTTCCTGGAGAGAGAGGACACCTCCACCTTTAACAACAATCAATCATCTGTCACTCAAGAACTGGAATTTGACCTGTTAATACCAGTTACACCTGTCGAGTAGGCTTTTTTAACATTAAAACTAAGCGAACACACGCTTGCAATATGTAGTTAAACATAATGCCAACAAAAGAGGCTTGTGATAAGCAACACAGTAGTCAGCTAAGGTACACACAACAGGTTCCAGTTTCACAAAACACGTGTAACAAAGATAAAAAATAAAAAAAAAACCGTTCACTTCCTTCCTTATAGGAACATTTTCTTTTATTGTGAAACTTCCTGTGACACAAAAATACAGTTTGGCACTGTAGTAAATAAAGCTTTTCACATAAGCTACGAATAGGTTAGCAAAAGAGGACTTCCCCCACACCTTCCAGAAGATGTGGTTAACTTTAGACTAACAGCAAACAACAAAGAGCACAATGTCAGAGTCATTAACGTTAAGCTAAATTGCGTCCTGGTGTGGGACAGTTAACGGACAGCTGGGAAACAAACGTTAAGTTAAGTTAACGTACCGGTGAGTGAAAAGTGACACGCAGGTTGGAGGAATTCATTGACTCGGTCTGTATCAGCCCTTTTTTCTTTTCGTGAACTTCACTGTTTACAAGTGAGCTGGTGTGAGTGGAAGAATGTGACTGAGCACTGACGGGGCAAAACTTGAAAAAGGAGGGAGGGACTCCGACGAAGTCATCGTCGGTAACCATAGCAACACTAACAAGGAAGTCCGTCCGCGGTGAGACTCTCTTTCCTTTCTCTTTCTTTATCTGCGTCAGTCGCGCACTTTTCTTTCATACAGACACATGTGGAGTTATTTGAGTGACACATTGAATGTAACGTTCACTGTTTTCTCAAAAGCACGGGTTATCTATTCATTTCTATATTTCTATATTCTCTTTGTTATTAGAGAGGAAATAACCAAATATAATTTCACCATAGAAACACTTTAATTTAAATGAAATCACATGAAGGATCCACAGTATTGGACACTGTAGTGTGATATTGTACTCTACTAATACTGTATACTGGCACATTATGTAGGAAAGTTATTTGGGATAGTGTGGTTATGCAAAACACAGAATAGAACCAGCTGAGCAGGGTAAAACACACACACACACACACACACACACACACACACACACACAAAAACATTTATAAGCCTCTCTTAAAGTCGCTTTGTTTGCTTACTTCTTCCAAGCACTGGTGGAAGAAGTATTTAGATGGTTTGCTTAGATAAAGTAACATTACATACATTTGTGATATTTCTGCTATGACATGACAAAAATGTCTGCAATGATAATGCTCCACTACAAGTACAAACCCTGCATTAAAACAATTACTCAACTAAAAGTGCACAGGTGAAGTATAAAAATACTGCCAACAAGTTTTGTGCAAAGTTTCTTGAGTTTTCGAGCATGTGAAGGCCTCAAAAAATGTGATCCATTTGGTATTAAGATCATAATAATAATAATAGAATAATAATAATAATAATAATAATAATAATAATAATAATAATAATAATAATAGCCCAAGCAGTTTCAATAGGGCCTTGGCAGTGTTACTGCTTGGTCCCTAATAATGTAAGACATCCCATTAGAGGACATTAAATTGACATGCAGTTGTAATACCAGTGATCCTCAGATGAGGGCAGTATAGGACCTGTTTTGGATTCATTGAAACTAAATGAATAGCATTTTAACACCAGTTTTTCCACTATAATCCAGAAAACTTAAGTTACATCAGCTGCTTTTAAAGTTAATATTATACTCATTGACCTTCCAACATACTGTAGCAGGTTTTATACTGTTGGTCTGGACGGATACAGTCTAATAAATGGTACAGATGAGCTTGGACCCAGCCTTATAACGAGTGGGTGTAATCTACAGGGGGGGACTTCTAATAATGTACCATAAAAATATGTCTTCTCCATTGCACGGCAGCCAAGCAGGTGTAAAAACTCTCCCAGGCCACGTCTACTGCAGTTTCCCACTGCACGGACTGAAACTTCATGGATGTTCCACATGTGTGGCGGAGATGAGGACCCTTGAGCTTTGACTGTCTCCTCTTCAAGTTGTTTTTGAAAGGCTGATTTGCAGCAAACAGATGCACGCAAGGCAATGCTCCAGATGAGATTTCAGAGCCAGATGTGTTTACACTTGGAGACACTAAGTAATGATCTCTGGAACAGCATCTATTTCTTGCATGAGTGAAAGCAGACAACAAGCAAGAAAATGGTTGTGATAATTCTTTATTTGATCTCACTGGTTTTAAATTCTATACTTGTGATATTTACACACTTTTCATCATATGTACACAACATAAAAAACACAAAAGACTGTGTATTATGTGCTTTACAGAACTCTATTGATTGTATCCTCAGGTTTTCTTATGAGGGATACAGTTATTACAAGCCCTTCATCCATGAAGCTCACATGGGGATAGGAAACTACAGCCACACTCTAAAGTCGAGCAGAGATCCACTACTACGGGACCTCTGGGAGCCGTTTCAAGCAGCGGAGAGGAGAACCAGAACGGAGAAGAGAGGGAGAGACACAGAGAGGGTATGCAGCCAGTGTCACCACACTGCTCTGGTTTAAGACCTTGGAAGGACTGACATCACACTTGGAGAGGTTCGTTCTGCTCTGCATTTCAGAGTACGGGAGCGTGTGGTTGGGGGGTTGGAGTCATCTGTGGCACTGCTTTAGTGGTCTTTCAGTGCCTCAGATACCACGCTATGTGGCTATGATCAGAGATATGCCAGTGGCCGGGGATGTGGCTATGCATGCGGACGATTCTTCCATTCAAAGCCATGGCCTTTGCTGTATCACTGTTTATCTTTGTGGCTTTGGGTTTCGGTTGTCTATACGTGCTCTTTTGTGCTTTCAGTGTCGGATTTTGTGCCAGGGAAAACTGAAGAACTCATTCACATTTTTGAACCGCAGCAGAAAGACTGTAAAACTTTATGAATAGTACTTGATCTTTTGTCATTGCGCCTCTGCAGTCTGGGTAAACAATTGAAAACTTTCATGTAGGTCAGACCTACTTTGAAGGGTTGTTGTCACCTACAAGGCCTCCAAATTTAGACCATTTCTGACAGCTGTGATACAGTGTGTGTGCTCTTATTTTCACCTAGAGGTTCCCAACTGGCACTCACGCTTCATTTCACTTCAGTGCCCCTTTTCTTAAGATTCACTGGCAATTGTTCAGCCACAGCCTCAAGAGGACTTAAGCATAGTTGTCCCTTTTTCAAATGTCTTTTTTAGTATATAACCTTATATTTGTACATGCATCAGGAACAACAATTTAATGAAATAGCCTTTTCTGCATTCTCTACTTTATAATATACCTGAACTGGAGCCTCTGCTGAGGTTTCACTTTCCCACTTCACCCTCTAGGTGGCACTCTAAAGTAGGTTAATGCTGTGAAAGAATCCAGCTCAGCACCTGCAGATTTCATTTAAAGCCCAAATCTTTCCACTAATGAGCTCTGGATATGGAGATAGAATGTGTCATGGTTAATTTATTTCTGCTAAGTAGTAGAAATTATTTTATGAAAGGATAATCTAAGTTCTTCCATGCTATGATCTGCACATTTCTGCAAAAGAAAGAAAAGTCTGCAATGTTCTGTTGATTCATTGTATCTCACGTGGAAAGAAATTATTTTTAGAAAGAAATGCAATTGTTTCCTACATTGGTTTACTGGGAGAGTAAATATGAAGTGGAAAATGTTGATTTGTTTTTAAGATGTTGTCTGGGAGCTATGGTTAATTTGCTGTTACAGTAAAATACCACAAGTGGCATACTTCTGTCACAAACAACCCCATCCCTCATGTTCTCCCTCTTCTGCTGTTTCTAAGTATTTTTACATTACAGTGATGAAAGACCTGACCAATCGGACTTATTTTCCAAGGATGTGGTAGTGGTTGGTGAGCACTCACATGACAACCTGGCCCCTGCCTGTTGCCAAGCTGGAAGCATGGGGTAGTGTGCATGCAAAGCAAGCATGCTGTTGCTATCGCTTCTTATCACACAAAGTCTTATTGTGCAAGACAAGCTATTACACGCTCCATTTACAGGATGGCTGCTGATACAGTGAGGGCCAGAATATTTAGCCTGATGTGTGACATAATGGAAAGCTTCCAATGCTGCCATTTTTTTGTGTCACACATCCATCCCATTCAGCCCCTGTGGACTCCATTATCATAAACATATTAATTCAAATTGAATAGCATAGCTGTTAGGGTCACCAGTGTTGAATACATGTGCTCAGCCTTACTGTACAGCACCTTTGCATCAGGGATTTCCCTCCCCCCGTTACAAAATGAATTCATGCCATTAGACATGATTGCATGTAAGTACCACTTGCCATAGGCCCCTTCCCAAGGGAATATGGGAACATGTGTTTCCCATTGTTTCATGGGTCCCTTTATGTGTTCACACTGACCACACTGCCTTTCCAATTAACTCACTGCGCTTGTATACCTCGACAGACTCTCACTGTCTTTGCAGTTCGCCTTCAGAATGCATCACTAGAAGGAGCTTCAACAGTAAAGCAAAGAAGTAAAGAAGTGATAAAATAATGCTTATATAACCCTTATAGTGTGACATTTTGGGAAATATACTTGTTTGCTTTTTTTCCGAGAGTTAGACTTCAGAGAGTCATATCTGCATAGCATACAGACTGTGAGCCAGAGGAAGGAATGGATACTTGTTTGTACAAATTAAACAAACAACATATACAGTCAAATATTAATTGGTAAAATTTAAAAAAAATAATTAAATCTTGACAGAGGCAGGCTTATTCCCTTCCAGTCTTTATGCTAAGCTAAACTAACCACCTGCTAGCACTAACATCATATTTAGTGCACAGATATGAGTAGTATTTACCTTCTCATTTAACTCTTAACAAGATGGTGAATATATTCAAAGTATTTAACCTCATAATCTTCTGACTTTTTTTTCTTTGTTGATAATATCTTTTAGCCAACAACGCTGATTCTAGTCTGATGAACTGTAATCTGAAGGAGCAAACTGACTTTTAGACCTACAATATAATATATTTCATTTCATAAAAGGACACTTGAGCCATGCAGAATCATTTCCCCAGTTACTTACCAAATGTGGTGTTTGAAACATGTGTCCCAGCTGCTTTACTTTCTGCCACTTCCATAACCTGTGCAAGTGAAAACATTATCTTTTTATCTTTTATTTGGCTCAGGCGTTCACAAGTCCCCTCTTTACAACCCACAGGAGTCAAATTCTGTACTCAGAGGGGGGAAGAAAAGCCAATTTTCTGGCATACACAGCTTCAAGATAAATGCTGCATGCAGAAATGAATTGCGGCTGTTATTTCAATCATGCCATAGCTCAGTTTTAGGATAGAATGTCTTAAAATTGTTGTTAAGGTGGACCAAACAATTTTTTTTTTTTTGCTGTCTGACCAGAGAAGAGACCAGAATAACACTGCATCTCAATTTGTCATGTAGTAAAAAGTCAAAGTTTAGGAATACACCCTTCCTGAGCAATAATACATTTGATTTTTTCCGCAGAGAAAGAGCTGGATTGCTATTTCTGTTGTTAGTTATGCTTTATGCTTTTTGGTTATACAGTATATTACATACAGAATGGATACCAAGCGTCACATTTTTTCCAAATTGTCAGAATA